TCTACCTACGTGTCGATGAGAGTCTGATGAATCTTGAATTCCTTTCTAAAGAAACTCATTTCCGGTTGCGCGCTGTTTTGTGTTGTTGACTTTTTTCTTTCTTCTACCGGGAAAAATATGAATGCTCGTGGTTTGTACTCATTTTTAAGGACGATTGTCTTCCTTTTCATGGATTTCTGCAATTCAATATTTTTTTTCAATAGAAAAATAATAATAATCGTTCATTATTTGAATCCTTTCACTGCTACGAGTCTGTACTGTCTGTCTAATGAAAATAGTTTATCGTCTCGCGGTTTCTTTTATTAAGAATCTCTTCGGACTTTTTACAAGTTTACGCGCGGTGTTTAGAACAAGTTGATGGTGTAGCATTCTCGGTTTACCAATCCGAAGTGCGTGCTCCAAGAGGAAGGTCTGCGCATTTATTAACGGAAAAGAGGTCATTTCCGTATAACTTCTAGGAATGAAGTTGTAAAGGAAACCGCCGACTGATCGCGCGTAAACCGTTCGTTGCAGCCTCTAAATCGTAAATGTGAAACACGAAACGAATAAACGTGGATTAAAAATAACGGGGAGCGTCCCCTGACACGATGAAAGTCGATTTCTCTTTATAAAAGTAACAGGAAAAATCTCTTTCAGAATTCTAAAATAGACATACATCGAAGCTTTAATTAGTTCTTCTTACATGATCAATTACTAATTAATCATTTCCAAAATATTTATAATAATTTTCAATTTATATTTCGTAAGTCAGAATTTATCCAACATAGGAAAATTGATGAAACGAAAAGGTTATGGAAAGTAATAGCACGGTTACGCCTACATATTATGGTACAGCCCTGTCTAAGCAGCAATCTGTTCGATAATTTCAGGTCACGGGGTGATTTAACCAGCACCTTGGTAACTCGGCCCTCTTCGTCTTGGTACTGGCATTCGATTACGTTGGCCAACCTGTTAGTCAGCCCATGCAAATCTAATTGATTAGGAATTTCTCGTCGAGATCCCAGCTGCACTTTAATTAGTAATTAAATCTATGTGCCAAGTAGGATTGGCTTAGATTGCAACGAGTTTGTCCGGTTTTGAGGTTGAATTTCATTTCGTGGCCAGGTTTATCAGGTACCAGGATAGTTTTATTGGGAATATCACCTCATTTCGTTGAGACTGTAATTGATTAGAGGGTTCCAGCACACTGGAGACAGCAATTGGTGCATCCTCGTTCTAATTAATGATTCCTCTGCCAGGTGATCTTGTTCAGCCTGAAATTAGTCCATATTCGGGGGACTGGAATTGATTTTTATTTTAGATTTTATTAATCTAAAAATTCTTAATCGGTTTTAATTATTTATAGGGTAACGTGTATACAGTTATTGAGCCTTTTTCTAAAAAAGTAGAAAATACAATGTAATATGTTTTTTATATAACAAACTATAATTCAAAAGTGTTTTCAAAAATAATTAAAAATGTACTTAATTATCTCTTAATTATCTCTTAATTTTAATTCTAATGCTTTCTTCTATATACTATATAGGTGAAGTATATATTTTATGTATTATGCAATGCAGTTGAATTATTTATTTAAATCTATTTGTTTCCAAAATTTTGGACGATAGTGTATATTTAATTATCTAACTTTTGAACAGCGAAGATTGGTACGCTATAAAACAGAGGAAATAGAAAAACACTGTTTCGAAATATTGTTATACTATTTTTTACGCTGAGTTACTTTACTTAGCATTAAGTGATTCCAATCGATCCGACAAACTCTTAGGTTTCTCAGTTTGCGTAAATTCATGTCAATCTAGATATCCAACACTTGGTACGGTGGAAGTAGAACAACCAGACTACACCTAAACATAGTAGGGAAGTAGGATTAATCGATTTAAAGTCAGAATCGACTTCAATGGGCTATAACAATCTTCTAAATTGTTCCCGACGATTAGCGAGCCCCGAGCACATTTAGTCTGTGACCCAATTGGTTCCCGCGCAATCTCCCAAGAAATCAGAACTGGTACTCGCGAGATCTTTCCTTTCAAGAAATTTCTTCACCGTCGAGAAATCATCCGAATGCTCCCTTTTAAGATAACGAGTGTATCTGTCATTCGTCAAACAATTGCGAAATAAAAGCCAGAATAGATCCTCTGTTCGTAAAGTAAACGACAGAAGCATCGTTCGTATCTCATCGATTATTAGCCAATATCTAAAATTGAAAATCTTGAGAATGGGGCTGTAGCATTTAGACTTTCTTTCATTTTTGTACAGGCCAAATGATAAGAGTTATCGAAAAAATTCTTACTCCATTGTGTTCAATGAGTTAGGTTCACGAATGGCCGAAAATTCTAACTTCCGGTCTGACCGGAAATGGCCGAAAAAGGGTTGGCTCTAGAATCTCGCTCTGGTTCACTTTAGCTTGTTGATTTTAGAAACTTGATCCAACCCTTCTCCAATGATACACTCTCTTTTTTCCAATTCCAATGTCTCGAGATGGAAATTTCCCGGAGAAAATCCATAGATACGCAGCTGTCGGTCGTTTCCTTGACTGGAAACTGGCAACCCATTAATTCATCCCTTGTTAGAAATAACGAACATTGTTGAACGCTTGAACGACGAAGGGTCGTTGAAACGAGGCTGTCGGGTCACGACCTCACACGCACAAACACCAACGCGGGACTCACCTGACGGCGCAGGTGCATGAATAAAAGATAATCTCTATCAGGATTTACATTCTCCTCGCTCGTCCGTGACGAAAGACCAGTTTCTCTAACCCTATCCAACGGTTATATCGAAATCGTCGCTTCGATAGATGGACGCATTAGAAAGAAAAAAAAAAAAAATCGATGAAACGCGTCCTGTCCGCGGAACACGCTGACATTTAGGTCTTTCGCTATAAATCCGGATGAACTTCGAACAGTCAGCGTCGAAATGTCGCGCGTAACGGTGCTAAGCGTCGTCGGGCTTCTCGGGAAACGATCGTTTATTTATAATTCTCGAACGACAACCAATTTTTTTATTTCCATCGTGTGAGAAATACTGAAGCAATTAAAACTCAACGCGTTAATTAGATACCATGATAAAATGTTAAATAATATTTATATCGCGATAGAAACGCAAGGTAGAAAACAGAAAAATTGAGATTTATATTTTTCATTGTTTTCCACGAATACGTCTGACTATACACGTTCATTACTACTGCGCCTATGAGCACGTCAAGTGTGTCGTACCATACACGGTCATTTCCACTGTGCCGGTCACCGTGTTCACGAAATGGCGAACATTCTAAATATCCGTTATTAAAATCAGTCACCACTAAATAATCTTACTTTTTACAGATAATAAAAACGTCTCCTTCGTATTCAAAAAAATTTCCATCTAATCCGTGGTGCGAAGGTCGCGCGGCGTCCTTGCGAGTCAAATATAAGAGCCTAACTTTGTTTGCCGTAAAATTTCATCAGACCATAATCCGTGTTATTCAACGTCGAAACTGGGCTATCTGGATGATCGTAAAAGTTGGTAAAATCACAAGGACCCGGTGTTCACGTGGCCGATGGAGCAACAGATCGTAAACATAGCGTCGTTTTCAATCGTGCATCGATACATTGCAAACAAACTCTGTTCGAATGGGAAAACAAACGGAAGCTAGCGCCATCGGCGCCATTACACGAGAACCGGCAGACGAAGCTTACGATCATCCCCATTCGGTGGTGACTAACCCTCGTCCAGTCGATACCGGACTACGTATCGGTATGATAAAATAACGAGTTAGTTGATTTTATAATAACAGTTTATTAGAATTGATAATTTTCTAACAATAATCCGAGCTTAGGTAAAGTTAGGATAGTTTTTCATTCGATAAAAATTTCGGCTGTCTTATCGAAGGTTAAGTTGCACGGAATCCTCGGACAGACGGCTGATAATTGGCCCTGTAGGCGAGGTCGAGAAAGCAAGTAGCAGCAAGCACCGCTATTAAGGTAATAAGGCTAACCCTGCCTAAGGTTGGAAGCGCGTGGTCGGCGTGTAGGGTGTGGACGACGGGGGTTCCCCTAACCACCACGTTCACACGGACACGTGTACAGACGTGTACACACGTACACAACGGTTCTTCTCCCTCGCTTCTGTTCCTCCCCTTCGCCAGTTGAACACCGCCGCCACCCTTCGCGGTCCGCATTGCATCAGTGTGAGGCTAGCACTCGAGCAGGACTCTTCCGGTTCTTCCTCGGCGCGTTGTAAACAACCGATACCCCGGTATTTGGGGCAACGTTCCCGTCCAGCGGATCGATATCCCCGGTTCCTCGACGCTTTCACAGGGGAATCGACAGTCGCGTTTTGCCGCCGCTTTTCACGTTATGTCGTCCTCGATCCGTCGACGCCGCGGCTGATACCGCGGACAGTTTCCTTTTTCATCCGAGAAACTCTTGTTCACCTACACGATGCTCCTCGAACATCGATGAACGAACCATACGTGGATTTGTTTACGTATGGATATATACAGACACCGGGTAGTGTACTGTTCCACCGGTCGGTAGTTACTGCTGAAATGCACGTGTACGTGGTTCGTGGTGGTGAACGAGCGTATATCTGTGTCTAGTGTTTTTTTTTTTTTTTTTTTTTTTTTCACTTATGCCCGTTCGATACTCGTGCTTTCGTAGTAGAACCTATACAAAGACGAGATTAAATGGCAGAGAGTCCGATTAGCAACTCGAAACGCTACTGTGCCAGACAGGTTAGGATTTCTCTCGGAATTTTACCCTTCCGTTTCGTTTATTTTCATTCAAGGGTCAGTGAAGACCCTTTCTCGTTTTTGTATTCTAAACTTCAGACTATTCCTGTATAGCAATGAATTTCAAACACTTGGTAAATCGAAAAATGAATTATTTAATAGAAAACAGTAGTAAAATCAACGCGAAATCAGACACGTGAAGAAGTACAGTAATTTCTTTGAAGAAAAGAAAGGAAATTAATTGAAAATTAGTGCAATTTCAAAGGGATTCTGTATCGTGTGTCCACAGGTGCTGTCCCTTGGAAACGATATCCTCCCAGAGTACAAATTACAGTCACCTAGGATCGGCAGGTGGACCATACTGCACTATTCACCGTTCAAGGCGGTCTGGGATTGGGTGATACTACTGCTCGTCATGTACACGGCTATATTCACCCCATACGTAGCCGCCTTCGTCCTGTCGGATCCAGATTACAACAGCAGGAAGAACAAAAAGTATAGTGACGATCCCATCGTCATCATAGACTTCATAGGTGAGATAGGAAAATAAACATCGCAAGTAATTAACAGTAGAATTAGCAAACCAGTCAAAATGACTGGATTCAAGTTTCTTATTTCAAATTATAAATTTTATCTAAACTATTTATTTTTCTTGAAAACTATTGTAGAGATAAATAATTATCTTAAATTAAATAATTTCTGGTGTTAAAGACCTGTAATTAATGTCGAACGCGTTGAAGTAGAAAAAATAATTGGGGTGTGCGGATGAAAATTCGACTGATTTCCTGTGCTCGTTACACCGTTCTCAAGGTACTTTTGATTTTTCAGTCGACGTCACTTTCATAGTGGACATCATCATAAATTTTCGCACGACTTTCGTGAATAGCAACGATGAAGTGGTGTCCCATCCTGCTAAGATAGCCGTCCATTACCTGAAGGGTTGGTTCATCATCGACCTGGTGGCTGCCATACCCTTCGACCTTTTTCTCGTTGGCTCGCACACTGACGAGGTAAGTTGCGTCGCACGTCCTACACGTTTTTCTGAGAATCTTCTTTCCAGGCTGAAACTGATCACCGTCAAATTATTTCCAATCGATTCGTCGAATTCCAAATGGAAACAGCGAACAATTCTAACATTTCCATCTACCCCCCTTCGATTCTAATCAATTAACCAGCGCGTGCCTGTTAAACTGTAATTAAGAGAGAAGGGAAATGATTTGACGGATCGATCAGGTTATTCAGCTGAGGTTTTCTAGAATGTCGATGTTAGCTCGTAAATATGATTAGGATGACATGCCGAGCCCAAGTTAAGTGCCCATAGGTGTGTCTTTACCGGATTGGTGCTTAGTTCGTTTTCCCTTTTTTCAACGTTTCTCGGTGTTGAATGATTTCTATTTTTATTTTTCTTTGTCGAAAATTAGCCGACTCGACGTATTATAATTATTATTATAATTATTATTATTATTATTATTAAATGTGCACACAATCTGTACGTACCGGCAGATGAGAAGGAACTTTGACGGACTCTCGTTGTCTGGAACGATTTCACACAAGTTTCACGCGTGGTACACGTACGTTTTATATCGAACCAACAGTTGCAAAGAAAAATTCGAGTAGATAGTATTTTTCAAATTGTTTCAAAATTAAAAGCAGTAGGGTAACACTTATTGACCTTGTATAATGATAGATCCTTTTTCTAAAAATGTAAAAAATATAATATAATGCGTTTCTTACATAAGAAACTATAATTCTATTCGTAACAGAAAGCGTTTGGGCTACGAAGGATAATTATATTTTATTATTTAACCCTTAGACAGCGGAGAATAGGTCAACCGTGACCCACATTTGCAAAACGTGTACAAGGACATTAATCTAAAGTTAAATATATAACTTTAAAACAAAAGTGTTTCATGTAGGTATTGGTATAATAATTTTTAAAAGGTCAGTGCAAAATTTAGAAAATGAAAGTAATATGAAGGAGAGAATGAAATTAGAATCGTGGTTTTCTCCATGGTCCGCCGCACCGTTTTAGGGCTCTCTCCATGGTTCGTCATCCAACGGATCAGAAACGCATTATATTATATTTCTTACTTTTATAGGAAAAGGACCAATCATTGTATAGGAGTTAACAAATGTATTCCTTACCTTAATTCTTTTCTTTTTTCATGAAATTTGTACCTGTACTCACACGTATGCATACACACTTGATCTATATACATGTGTAAGTAAGTCTAGTCTTTCGCTGTGAAGATTTCTGCTCTGATTGTCGAGATGTTAGATTTTATTGTCAGTTCCTTGTCAAGATTCTCTTCTGTATTCTTCGCCCCGTGTCTTGTTTCTCTCTTTATTTTTCTTTTTTTTTTTTTTTTTTGAAAATCTCAATCAATTGTTATTATTATTATATAGATTACTTTCGTTAATTTATTCCGACTCATGATTTTCGTGTTACGTTGGTCCTCTGTCGCGAGGATCGTTAGCATACGCCTTTTCTGCAAAATGATTTTCACTCTGTTTCGTTCTCACGATGCTCGTTCCGAAGGAGAGAACGTTTTTAATTGACCTGGCGCTGTTGAGAGATAAAAATGTAATCCGCTAGTAATCTATGCGACCCCTTTTCTTTCCTGTGTTTCTTGGCATAAAAAATAGGGCAGCGTGATATTAACTGAACGCTCAGGAAAGTTTATTTCACGATCACGATGCGTAAGTTTAATGAATTATTCTAGCGAAAGGATATCACGAGAATTTCTGGTCTCGGCAAATCAGTCAAATAATCCCTTCATTAATTTTTTTTTTTTAATCTGTAATCACCTCCCACGAAAGAAATATGAAACATTTTTTATACTTAACTGTGTAAATTTAAGTCCCTTTTTTCCACGATGATTCTCTTCCAAAGGGATCAAATTAACGCCCCGTTTTTTCGTTACATTTTTCCTTCTTTCCTTTTTTGAAAGATTAAAAAAAAAAAAAATCTCAAAATCATAAAGGAACGAATTTTAACCTCAGTTTAACGTTTTCGTAGCTCGGCTTGGACAAGGACGAGGTTAGTTGACACACATACACACAAAAAAGAAATTACTCACAGGCTGACGTTTTCTTTTTTTTTTCTGTTCACTTTACCTCTCTATCCCTCTTTTTTTCTTTAATAAACTGCAGGTTTCGATTTACACGTTTTTTACGCACTAATAATTAAAAAAAAAGAAGAAGAATGAAATTCACCAAACGCAGCCATGAATTTTTTCTGTGTCTGTTTCTCTTTCTTTCTTCCTTCCTTTCACACACTCTCTTTCTCTCTTTGTCTGTTTTTTCTATCCCTGTACAGTTATTTAATCGCTTAAAGAACACGTCACACATTGCGAATATATATTTATATTATATATCTCTGATGTTTTTTCTGCACAATCTTTCTTTTCGTAAATCGAAATGATTTTTTTTTTTGTCTCACTCTCTTGTTTCTCAATGTGGTTCCACGTTAACACTTGCGATCTTTCGCGCGATTTACCACAATCGTACACCTGTGTGCTTCGAAGTACACGATACACAGACACACACACGTAAGAAGAAAACTACCAACTGCAATCCCACGATTTATCAAGAAACCCGGGGAGAAACCGATCGACAATTTCCGCTGTTCGAAGGATAATTTATTTGATATTTATTAAACCCGCGATATCTCGATGAATTTTCTCGAGGAATTCGAAATAGACCGGAACACGTGATCCGGAGGATCATCTCGTGTTCGAAAGCATTTACCCTCAGCTTCGAATAGATTATGTAAGGAAAGGAGAAATGTCGATCGATTCCCTCCTATTTCGCCCGCAACGTGTGAAATTTCACGACGATGAACGTTGAGGAAGCATCTGCATGTCTACAGTAAAGTATTTGCAAAGACCGATCTGACTGTGTAAATAGTGTTATACTCACACGTACGATATCCACTTGGTAGGAAAAACGAATTGCATCAGAGTACGATGTAGCCTCGACACTTCGACGACCACGTATTTTGTATGGGAAAAAAGATCGCTGAGAAAATTATGCGACAAAACGATCAGTTTTCAAATTGAAAATAAATTCATTCGCAATGGTCGTCGAATTGTTCAGAATATTTCTTTTCTTTTCTTTCCCCGAGTATAAAAGAATCGAGCAAAGAAATTGAGATATTTAATAAGAATATTTTGTACAATACTATATGTATACTTTGATTAGGTAGCTGATAGATTTAGATAATTATTCCTAACAGATATTGATCCACAGTGAACAGAACGATTTCTGGAATTTTCTTTTTTTTTTTCATACTTTCCTTGTCTTTTTATAATTGCTCCCCCCTACTTTTTCTTAAGTAGTCACGTAGAGATTCGTTGAGTATCAATAATTGTTGAGAATAATGCAACTAGTTAGAAAATGTTTTTTGTAGTTAGTTAATTATTTTTGATCAAACATCGATGCTCAATTAAAGGAACATTTTTACAAGACGTTGAAAATTAATTTGGGGTTGCAGGATTATCCATGCTGACTTCATGAATTTTCAAATGAATTCTTTCAATACGATAAGAACGCGTTTCAGATAAGTTTCCGAATGGCCGCACCAAGATTGGGAACTCAGGTTCGGTATATAACCTAAATTGACTACCAGAAACCGATTAAAATTGGTTTCAGAGCTGGATGTCGTACCGTTTTTGAGATATCGTGGTAAGAAATTTTTGTACAATTTTGGGACTACGTCTGCACTATTCGATACTGCGCATGCGCTATTCAATACTGCGCATGCGCTATTCAATATTACGCATGCGCTATTCGATACTGCGCATACACAGAACCTAACCTAATCTAACCTAATCTTACCACGATATCTCGAAAACGGTAAGACATCCAGCTCTGAAACCAACTTTAATCGGTTTCTAGTAGTCAATTTAGGTTATATACCTAACCTGAGTTCTTAATTTTGGAGGGGCCCTTCGGAAATACAAACCGCGTTTCGTACCAGTAATTACTACTCTTCTAGAATATTATTGTTAACGCGTAATAAACGATAGAATGGTGTAACAAAGGAAAAGAAATGGCTGAATGAAAATTTTGTAAACATAAGTACACGTACACACGAAATAGACATACATAGAAACAGAGCGACACGCGAGAGACGCAGAGGATCACATAGCGACACAACGAACGCACACCTCGAAAAGAAAAGATACCGAAAGATTTCTCAACGGGATTTGTGTAAAAAATCGTATGTAAGCTTTTGCCGTTTTCCACTTTGGATTCCATGAAAGACTCTCTTTGTTAGTCCTGTTTTTACGAGCTTATTTTTCCGTATCATTTTTGTACATATTAATTGCGCTTACATTGCAAGCTGTATAAAATCGTACAAGCCTAACGATACCGATAATTATTTCTCTGTGTGCGTTACCATCGATAGAATTCTTTCATCTGTTCTCTTCTCTAACAATACGTTTGATGATTTACGCTTTTAATACAAATCGATAACTCATTACCCTATTTTCTTTTAATCCATATACTGTATAGCTGTTATACATGTATCTGGATACTCTTTTTTTTTATTAACACGAACAGCGATCATGTGTGTTTTTCTGTCGCTTGAACGCTTCGTCTTCTTTCCACTTACGTATTATTTCGAATATCTGTCTTGTGTACAAACGAAACGGGTTGCCAGGCGATAGATACACGCAAAATTTTTGTTTTCTATTCGAATTGCCAATTATTCGACTCGGGATGGTAAACATCCGTGACATTCGAAGGAAAGATAAGATCGCGTCAGACAAGAGAACGGAACATGGAGTATTTCAAGCTTTACCGGGATCTCTCACGATGCACCGGTTCGCGTGTACGTCGTAATAACGCTTTCCTTACTATCAGAGCCGGTTATCAAACGTCCTCGGATATTCTTGGCAATTCGAGGCCGGATAAAAGACCGCTGCCTTTTTCTCTCCTCTCCAACCCGTCTGTGTTCCTGTGAAATCATCAATTTCCGTCCGATCTTCAAAAGCGATCACGATCGTTCGAGAGATAATACAGAAAGATAATTAGAATTATTTTTAAAATGAACGTTTATCGCCTCGCAACACCTGTAATAAGTATCAAGTTCGAGATTATTCGTTAGCAAACAATTAGCCGAATGATCCTCAGTTTGATCGGCTCTGCATGATGTCGAATCGTGACAAGGTGTCGTTTCCGTAACGACCGTGAAACAGCACGGTGTTTTGTCGAAATGCCGGATGTTCGCGATCGAATCTCGAACCGGGATCGCAGGTAAGAAATTGGAGAGAAGCATGAGTAACCAAGTTTGTTGTTTGCAACGATCCCGAACCGACTGCTCGTCGCTTGAATTTCTATCGAACCGGAAGAGAGATTCTCGGTGCGTTCGAAAACGTGGCTGGACATTTTCCTCTCTCGTTTCTCTTTTTTTTTTTTTTTTTTTTTTAATATCGCGTCGGACATCTACGAAGCTTCGCGGTTGACCTAAAAATGACCAGCGACGTCTCGATCGATGGAACTCGAGAGCGACACTCGAGTATTAGAGATTCCTCGGAAGCATTACGAGACAAGTCGCACTGTCAAACTGACTTTGGCTGTGTTACAAACGAAGGATAGCTCAATAACGAGTGATTACATGGAATGCATAGTTATAGAACGTCGTTGGATCGAGGCCGATTCAATTATTCACGACTCTTCCACCTAGTTTCATATTTTTTAACGGATTACTGCACTCGCTGTGAATATGTACGGTAAAAGTTGGATAACTATCGGGGCTCAAAGCGGAAAGTCATGAAACGGGGGTCAAGCCGCGCGTTTGAATATTGTCGAATTTAAAAAATGATAAAGAACGAAAGAGAATAAGGTCTGAGAATCGAAAGAACCCAGAAAAATATATCGGGAAGACTATCGATTTAATTAAACAATAAAATTTTCGTATTTTTCATTTTTCCTAAATGAAAATTTTACCAATGTAATTGTGAGGTTCTTCTAATTAACCCTTTCACCACTACATATGTTTTTAATATATTTTAAAAACTTGTTACAGTTTCTAATGAAAATGCATTCTATACTTTGAATGTATCCTACTTTCCTGAAAATGTCCTGGGACAATGTGTCCCAATAGTAAAATAACAAGGATGTTGTAATGGAACAATCTTTATTATATTTTACGTGTAATACAACGAAAAACATGCTTTGCATAGTGAACACTCAAATAATACGCGGTTTTGGGACGTATTTGTCCAATAGTAATTTGATATTTGCTCTGGGACATATATATCCCGACAGTGGTGAAAGGGTTAAAATAAAATCAAACACGGTATAATTTGAAGCATACTTGCTCAATTCCCTTTTTAAATTACAATTATATTAGTAAAAGTTTTATTAAAAGAAAAACCAAAAAGTTTTGATGTTGCATTATTATTGTCTTATCGATATTCCAGTTTAAATTAAATCACATTATTCGTTTGTCCAGCTTCGTAGTTCTTCCAGGAATATCCCTCCAGGTGATGGAGGGTGATTACCGAGTATTTATCCAATGGATCTGCCCGGATATTTATCCAACTCTTATTTAACATCACGACGAATACCCTGTATATTTCGTAACGCACGAAACGTCCAAAATGGCACCGTAGATTTCTAAATAGACCCGCGTACTATCCATTTGACCGGTCAAAGTCAGTTCTCTTTCGGCTTCGATGGAAAAAGCAGGTCGAGCAAAGGAGAGACGAAAGAAAATGAAGAAAATCGTAATTGACGAGCGTGAGATGGACAAAGTGTGACGTGTTCTTTGCAGACGACAACCTTGATAGGACTTTTGAAGACGGCTCGTCTTCTGAGGCTCGTCAGAGTAGCCAGGAAGATCGACAGGTACAGCGAATACGGAGCTGCGGTTTTGCTCCTTTTAATGGGCACCTTCGCTCTTATTGCTCACTGGATGGCGTGCATATGGTAAGAACCTACTAAAATTCATTCTTCTGAATGGCAGTATCAATAAAGTCTCTATTGTTTCGAAGGTACGCCATTGGGAACGCGGAGAGACCAACGTTGAAGAGTAAAGTCGGTTGGCTCGATATTCTGGCCAACGACACGCATCAGTTTTATTCACACAACAACACCGGAGGGCCGAGTATAAAGGTGATTAAATTAAATTGACGAAAATGAATTATTTTCTTTTCGATTCAACGAAAATTTTTCTTCCATTTCAGAGCCGCTATATCACAGCACTGTATTTCACCTTTAGTAGTTTAACGTCGGTGGGATTTGGAAACGTGGCACCAAACACGGACGCCGAGAAGATATTCACTATAATAGTTATGCTAATCGGATGTAAGAATCGTTCAATTTATTCGACATATTTTAATTGCCAAAGGACGATCGACGGATGTTATATTTCCTTTCGTTGCAGCTCTGATGTACGCAAGTATCTTTGGTAACGTATCAGCGATCATTCAAAGGCTTTACAGCGGTACAGCGAGATATCACACGCAAATGCTTCGAGTTCGAGAGTTCATAAGATTCCATCAGATCCCTAATCCGCTTCGTCAACGATTGGAAGAGTACTTTCAGCATGCTTGGACGTACACGAACGGAATCGATATGAACAGCGTACTGAAAGGATTCCCCGAGTGCCTTCAGGCGGATATCTGTCTTCATTTGAACAGAAATCTTTTGAACAACTGTAGAGCCTTCGAGGGTGCCAGTCCAGGTTGTTTAAGGTATTTAAAATTACCTTTTCTCAATTCCATTTGTTAAATCACGACGATCAGTGGCAGACTGTGAGTATAAAAATATTGGTTGCCAGGGGACAAAGGAGTTTTTTTGTTCGAATTTTGGTCCTAAAGGGAGCTTACTTGTATAATTTTTTCAATTTTCTTTTCTCTCTTTCCAGGGCATTATCGTTAAAATTCAAAACCACACACGCTCCGCCTGGTGACACGTTGGTTCATCGGGGGGACGTGTTGACGTCCCTGTACTTCATATCGCGTGGCAGTATAGAGATATTAAAGAGCGACGTGGTGATGGCCATCCTGGGCAAGGACGACATATTCGGGGAGAATCCTTGCATATATCCGACAGTCGGGAAATCGTCGTGCAACGTTCGCGCTCTGACTTATTGTGATCTGCACAAGATACACAGGGACGATTTACTCGACGTTCTGGCTCTCTATCCAGAGTTCTCCAATCATTTTAGCCAGAATCTCGAGATCACTTTTAATCTGAGAGACGTACGTATCCGTTTCCCTTTTCGTTTCTATTACACGTTTACTTGGGCAGTGGCGTTTCTGGCATTGGTGTCGCCCGGTGCAGTTGAATGACGTTTATGCATAGTATTTCAATTTCATTTGATTTTTTTCAAGAAAATCATAAGGGAAAGGGTTAAATAACTTAGAGTTATTTTATTTTCTAAAAAAATATCCTCGACCCGATTTCCATCCAGCTCTGCCCTCGCACCCCCTGGTGACGTCACTGACTTAGACAACTTTCAAATGGTGAAGTTTCTACGAGAGATTCGAGGAATTAATTAACAGGGAATTTAATAATTGACAGGAGGAACAGGCTGGTGTCGATCCAATATCAGCAAGGTTCCCTGTCAGCACTCCAACGGACGTCGAAGTCGACGCTAGGAGATTCGCTTTCCGTCCACCACGATACCGTCGAGGACCCGGGGGTCCTGGCACCAATCTTATCCCCACCGGTCGACAAGACTCCTTACAGGGTGATCAGGAAGACTAGTGAGTGTCTAAATAAACATTTCAACACTTTGACCGGACAGGAATATGGAAATAATCTCGTGTGTATCTATATAACAGTGACAAAGCAAGTGGTCATGGAATTTTGGAATTCAGCACCGACAAAGCGGGCCAAGATGTGACACCGTTAAATTTAGAGTTCGACGAGCCGAAGCAAAGAAGTTCCACATTGAACTCCATAACCGGTGAGAAGAAAGAAAAAGAAAAAAAGAAAAAAAGAAAATTCGATCCGTCGATCGATTTTTACGACCTCCGTTTTCAATCCCTTCGAAACGATACCTTTCTTTTACCGATTACTCTCTTTCTCTGTCTGTCTATTTTTCTCTTGTTTGCCTCTAATTACTGTCTGAGGAATGTATTGTTCTCTGCACGTCACATAGAGCTCTTGATAATAATCGATTTAAGGACGTTTCTTACGGTTGCTTACGTCGGTTTCATTTAGAACCGTATACACGGATAAGGAAGATCCTTATGATTCAAGGAAAGTACTTTTGAATCATGCTTCGCAATACCCTGCCACATCGATGCTTGCCCATTTACTGAATATTCGTAATTTCGAGATACACATAGATTTATACATATATATATATGTATATATATTTCAGAACGTTATGTACATATATACATACATACATACATACATATATAAAAAGCTCGGCTTGACCCTGTTCCCCCTTTGTTTCTCTTGTATTATATACTCGACTCACAGTTCCGTGAGATTTGGACCGTTTAACGTCCCTGAAGAGAACCGTAGTCCGGCACCGATATACAACATTAACTGCGAAATAAAAGGTAATCTCGAATGTCACAACCGCAGAGTGCAGTAATTACAGTTTGCTCTAATTTATGCAATTAGCCCTAAGGTGTAAGCGGAGGGACAACCATTTACTTGCAACCATTTCATTTTAACGCTTTTTTGACTCAAACATCTGCTATTTCAAACGAAATACGATTACTTATGAATTAATGAACTACCAAATGATCATTTTCATAAATGATGGCCCTCTCTCCGTTTTCAATTCTCAGATCTCAGATTCATTTTGATTCAATAGCCACTTGCTCGTGTTTCATAATGATCTTCATACATCCGTAGACAATATTTATTTTATCTAAAATCTCGTCTATGTAGCGTAGTTCATTTTTCATGAGCTTTATACTCGATCGACACGTTTCCTTCTATCTATTCTTCTCCGCTAAAAAGAAAACAAACATATCACCTTGGTCCAATCGCCTCGACTAATAAAGCATAGAATAGCTTTCGAACAACAAGTTGTCCCGTTCGTATGAAGAGAAAAATCGTGCTGATTCGAGGCGTTTGGATTAAGAGCGCAGCGTTTAAGCTTTGCGTTTGCATTTGACTCCCGAGTTCGTTAACACCTTGAAACCTGGTTGTTCAGGCATGCTAACCCATCTCAAGCGCAGCATACCGGACCTACGTCAGCACAAGATCCATCTGCAACCACTGACGAGTCACGATTACCTTGCCAAGCAGAGTAAGTATCCATTTGGCGAAGTAGACAGGCCAATCCTTTTTAATTAATCACTTTAATCATCATCGTTCGATCGACTCGTTTAAAGAAGTTTAGTGTTGTCGCTAAAATAATCAGCTGGCGAATATCCTACCACCGTATCATTCGAACCCCTAGCGAAACTATCGATCTTTCTCTCTCTCTCTTTCTCTTGCTTTTCCTCTTTATCCTCCTTTTGGTCCCCCTTTTTCTCGGAGATAAGAGGCACTTTTAGAGAAGGCTCGTCCGCGCCCTACTCTCCCCGGCCCGATGTACTGATTCTCTGTGCCTGGGTTTATCCAGTGACCACCCCGTTGACGAAACCAGCACGGAGAAGCTCCGCCGCCGACGAAAGCTGCCTCAGTCAGAACGCGGTGCACCCAACATCGACGACGTCCAGTCATTATACCACACCGTCGCCACCACAGCATCCACAGTCACACGGTGGGTGGATTTGCATCATTCGTCGACCATTCTTGCCACCCACGGATGATCCCTCTCTCCCTTGTATGCGAATGATCCATCATCTCTGTGCTAATTATTCGAAAGACTACGTGATTCGTGGTCGTCGATTACCCTGATGTGTACGTGTATGTTGGGACGATTTTTTTCTTTCTTTCTAATCAGGCGACCTAATGAGGTAGCCAAAATTTCGAGGATGTTCGTCGTAGAAAGAGGTTCGAATCCATATAGGTAATCGTCGTCTTGATCTTGAAAGATTCATTAGATTCATTCTCATTGTAGATGGGCAACTGATCGTTGACAGATTCAGCTGTTATTTGGATTTTATATGAATTTCAGGTGACTTTCAAAGCGGACCAGGCCGGCCTATAGAGGAGATGAACGTCAGGATAGATCAACTGTCGCGACAGGTGTCCTCTCTGGAACACTCGATGGGAGAGAACATTAGATTGATCCTAACGCTGCTCCAGCAGACCCTTAATTCGTCGAGGGAGAGCTCCAGCATCGAGATGATGCCTGGAACAGCACCAGCCGGACCTGCTAAACAAAGTAGTAGAGCCCCGGCACTGGTCCAACGGTCAGCCAGCGAACCACAACCCCCGACTGCACCGCCGTCGAACAATGGAAACGGAAAGCTTCAGCCTAGCTCGTCCCACGGTTTGTTTAGGTAATTCTTTTGTACTTGATCTTTCGTATAATCTTGTCGATCAGACGATCACACGTGAGAAAGATTATTAATTAGTCGTGGATATAATGAATTTGAAAAGCGAATGATGGATTACAGTGAACTTTCGTTATATTGCCACAATTTCTGAGCAATTTCAGTCCCACCATCATAGCCTACGAAAATAATATAATTTTATATTCCTTTTCCTCTCCAACTGAAAATTTGGAAACTTGACAAATTTTGCACTCCTATCTCCTTCCCGCGGCAATAGAACGAGGTATATACATGGTGTTCGACAACAAATGGGATCAAGGGGTGATTCTAGGGATCAAAATAAGACGAAAATTAAGAAGGACGAAATAGCGTTTGCGGCTTTGTTTTCCAATAATTAACGTTTAAAAGTTCTAGTAAAAAGCGCCTGAAACCTGCAATCTGCCCAACACCGACGACTGAACGTCAGGTCAGCAGGGGTCGGTACAGCCATAACCAAAAATCATTGAATAGTAGAAACTTACCTCATGCTATTCTGTTTCTCGACAGCATTCGGATTTCTCTTCTTGGTTATGACTGTACCTACCCCTGCTGACTTGACGTTCAGTCATCGGTGCTGGGCAGGTTGCAGGTTTTAGGCGCTTTTTACTTTTTAAACGTTAATTACTAGAAAACAAAACGATTGATTTTCGTCTTATTTTCATCCCTTAAAAAATCTTCCACCTGTTGTCAAACACCTTATATAAATATTAAAAAAAAAAATGTTCGAAATTTTTCTAATTAAAATCGTAATCATCTTACTCACACGATATCGTATAGCGTTAGTGTATTTGTCATAACAGAAGTAACATGTGTCTCTTCTGTTTCTATTTTTCTCAGTGTATCTCTGTTTCTATCACTGTTTTTCTTTCTTCTTTTTTTTTTGTTCTACCTGTGTCTTTCCTACTTTCTATCCAAATCAATACGATCGATTTCGACAAAATGTAGAGACGATCGTGTTGTTAAATCATTCTCTTTCTTTCTCTTTCTCTCTCTCCCTCTCTCTCTCTCTATCTATCTCTCTGTATACGTGTGTATGTGTGTGTATATTTGTTTTTCTGTTACTTTCTCAAGTAGAAAATGATTCTGTTTTTCCTAGGAAGTAATCGATGTTTTTATTCTTGGAAAGCTTTCTTTCGAAATCCCTGGATCAGTTGCATTTGATTTCGGCGTCTTTTATTTTGGAAAGGTTGGACAAGTTCCGAAGGTGACCATACTCTCTCATACTCTTCTTTGAAACCCTTTTGCGAGCAGTGTCGCGCAAGTAGAAACGAAACAGGATTAACCATGCAAATTATTGTAAAGCTGCTAGAAATTCGTTGCTAATTTATTTCTATTTACTGGTATCGTAAGTAAAGTATCAATTTGATATCTTGTTTCATTTTGTCTCGCTCTATTTCTATGTTTCTACGCGTCAGCGATCCCTGTTTTCTACCCAATTAGTTATCTGTAATTTTTTCAATTAGAGAACGATACAATTGACATCGACATTTACTTGAACAATCGTTACGAAACGATCTTGGAATGGTTCTCTTTAATTCTTCTTTTCATTTTTCAAACACTAGCGGTAGAACTTTTGTTAGCCTACATCGTGAGCGATTATTTACCCCTAAGTATATTGCTAGTCCGACTTTCCTTTAACCCCCTTTTTTAGAATATCGATCAAGCATTTTACACACGACGCGTGCGTAGACGATTTGATTTTGTTTGTTTGCGACATTGGCACGTTTTCGAAGCTTGGCGATGAATACGCGAAGAAAACCGTGTCGTTTTCTTTGTATCATCAACGACGACACTTTTTCGAAAGAAAATTTCCAAAAACATCGCGTTTCTTTTTTCGACACTTTAGAACGAACACAATTAGTTGATGCTTAGAATTAGTGTTGATAAGATTCAAGAATAGAATACTAATTCATCGAACATTTAAAACTGAAGAAATATTAAGCAGTTTGTTAAACGTGTCAAAATGATTTGACAGATAGTTTCTTTACATAACAGTTTTTAATGTTTCATTCGCTTCGACTGCAAATCACACGACACTGAGATCACCCTTTACACACCTTAACGATACTTCCCTTCGTAGCTACTTGAAAATATCCCATCATAATGGATAGAGGTAAGAGATACAATTAGTAGATGATTCCCGCGAGTATGATCCGCCACTCTGTAGGACATAAGTTTTCATTAGTGCACAAGCATACACAGTACTGTATTGCTAGTTTCGTTTAGAAAACTCCAGTATAGTCTCGATAGTTTAATTGTTTCTTGCCCGACTAAACATTTAGCTATTTCAGTAAAAGTAAAAAGAAAACTATCGAGATTCTACCATGTACCATTTAGTCAACTAACGAGAAGAGCTCCCCAAGTATTACGCTCAATTATTAATTAAACTTTGTCACTGTATAGATTTCTTCAAGCTGGACATACTTGTACTCCATTTTGTTAAAATTAATTAAATTAATTACTTCTTATATTAAATAATTAATTAAAATTAATTATTCCTTATATTCTAAACTCTAACACATTTACACATACAAATAGTTAAATACCTGAATTCAAATCTAAAGATTCCTAGTTCGAATCTCGGTTCCTTATTTTTTTTTTTTTTTTTTTTTTTTTTTAAATTGGTCCACATTTTTTATCCCTTATAAAATGAACTTGGTCCATTTTCAAAATAAACGGCTCACCTAATGTTAATATCTTTTAAACAATTATACGTCCACCTCCAAAATGGGGTGTATGCATATTCAGCTTGAAGAACTCTATCTAGTGACAAAGTTTAATTAATAAATGAGCGTAACGCTTAGAAAGTTCCCCTCATAAGTGAAAACTCGCGCGTATCTTGTTTGAAGGAAATATACGGAACACGTGGAATAAATCGAGAACAATAATGTCGATGTCAGATCGTCGCTGTTACATAAGGAGTCCCAATCAGACAGATTTGCGACACTGTTCGGGACACTTAGAGGAATTAGACGCCTACCGAATCCTCTTGTACATAATCACGTGCTTCAAGTATATTTCGCTGCTAGTCAGAGCGGTACCGAAAGGCCGCTGCTCACGCCTTGTCATATGATTTAATCATCCTTTGAATGTCCATCTGTAGCAGACCTCCGACGAGAGATCCGACGTCAACGTCCTCAGGTACATCTCGATTAACGGTGACGTCGGACACGTCGGCGTTGGCGACGGCCCTGCAAACGGCGTTGAACGGTAGAACCGCGCCCACCAGGTCTCAAAGTCAACCCGTCGACCTGGCTGTACCACCCAACACGCAACAGGCTCACCTGCCACACGCCTGGCACAGTCAACCTGCTGCGTTTAGGAGAGGAGAGTTCAGGAGCGGGTAAAACTCGATTGTCTTTTTCACTGTTTCAAACGTGGCCATCCGATAATTAGTAGAAATGAACGTGTGTGGTCAGAAGATGAAATTTCAAAAATTTCAAATTTTAATTTCCTGTCTTACTTATTTCTTCTAACTTACCTGGATTTAAGAGAAATTCAAGTCTGTTGCATTACACCGAAGAAAATAAATTCGCAACTGTTTTCTTCTCTGAATTAAATAATAAATTATTGAATAGTCGCATAGGACATCGAGTTATCCAACGTCTTTGAGACGACGACTATCGTAGCAGTCAAATGATTTAAGTAATCTCGCGGTATCATTAAAATTAAATAACATCTAATCTCTAAATATACAGGTTGTTCGACAACAGGTGGGCAATATTTTAAGGGGTGATTTTAGGGATCAAAATAAGACGAAAATCAAGAATAACGAAATAGCGTTTACGGCTTTGTTTTCCAATTATTAACGTTTAAAAATTCGAGTAAAAAGCGCCAGAAACCTGCAATCCGCTCAGCACAGACGACCGAACGTCACGTCAACAGGGGTCGGTACAATCATAACCAAGAATCGTTGAATAGTAAAAACTTACCTCGTGCTATTCTGTTTCTCGGTACTGCAGTATTCGGTTTTGATTCTTGGTTATGACTGTACCGACCCCTGCCGACGTGACGTTCGGTTGTCGGTGCTGAGCGGATTGCAGATTTCTGGCGCTTTTTACTCGCATTTTTAAACGTTAATAACTGGAAAACAAAGCCGTAAACGCTATTTCGTTATTCTTGATTTTCGTCTTATTTTGATCTCTAGAATCACCCCTTAAAATATTGCCCACCTGTTGTCGAACACCCTGTATATTAATAATGTTAATTTCACAAACAAAATTTTATATATTTAACTCTTTTAATTTCGAGATATTTAACTAATTAAAAATTTTTTAATTAACCCTGATACTAAAAATACAAAATTTTACTTTATTACTTAAAATTTTTAAATTTCATTTACATTACTATATTTATAAATGAAATTCATTATTTATTAAAATTTACAGGTACAGCTCGTTCAACAAACGTTCAGAGCCAGAAGGTGAAGATCCATGGAGCTGTGTTGTGTCCGTCTCGGATCGAGGAGCTTCTCAACGTCCCCGGAGTAGCGAGTCTCGTAAAGAACCAACGAATCATCGGGGTTCCAGCAATTTGGCATCGGCTCAACGTTCCGAGAGTAGACAACCGGGTCAGGATGGCAGCGGTCAGCCATCGAGTGGCCGGCAGGAGTCCTCGAGGCAAGCCAGCGAGGATATATCCTGGGAGTTCACGATAAACGAGGCGCCGATCGCGAGATTAGAGTCATTGGACGAGCTCGATCAGGATCACGGTAGTTAAGGCCAAGGTTAGCCACTTCCTTTTGATGCACTCTCGGCTCATTTGCGACTGAAACGCGATACGTGTCGATGCGATCGATTATAAACGATCATTCGGATGGCTGTGGACTCCTTCCGTTCCCTTTTTGAAGGATTTAACGAAGGTGGCGCCAGGATGGCAATCGTGTCTGGCTGCTCGATATTCTTCTAGCGAATCTCCTATTTAATCACCTCTCATTTCACACCCATCGTTAATAAATCTATCTTTCCCTTTAAATCACCCTCGATCGTTTCTTTTTCTACTGATATTAAAACGAAGCGTTTAATATTTTAAGTAGAACTATGCATCTTCTGAAAACGAAAACGTCCGATGTTCTTTCATTCTAAAGACGTTTTCCACGCATACTGCGTTACTAATTATATTTATCAAGCACGATCACGACGAATTAGTAACTTTCAGTACTCGTTCGAATCACGTAACAATTCAGTTCGGGAATCGTTAGAAGAACATCGATCGTCATGCGATCAGCAATATCGACGTGGTAGTACAAGACGTGCGAAGAGCGAAAAGACGATAGAAAAGGAACGAGAATCGAAAGCACGAGCGGCGTTTCAGAATGTTGTACACATATACACAAGGACACATATATTATATATATTATATATATATCGTCGAAGTTTCTATTCGTATTGCTGCTATTTCCTTCGAGCGATTTTTTAATTAAATTAACAGACACATAGACACGCGTATACATTATCCTCTCGAGGCGATGCTGATGATTTCATAAATATAGGAACGACACACGATGAAGGAATAAGGAAGGAGATGAATTTTCAATAAATAAATACCACAAAACGTTACAAATGAAAGTACAGATTAAAGCGAAACGGGAGGGAAAAACGTATGAAACGGTGCGGCTCGTGAATGTTTCTCAAGTATTAAAGTCCTTCGCGTCACGGTGAACACGTAGCTAATTTGAAAATTTAAGGATATATCGACTGAAAGCACCTTCTTTTTTTAAATGCTTATAGACGATGCGTTTATGGCGAGACGAGTTGTACGATTTCTTCACAGGGGAATCGTATCGATTGCGATCTTTGGGAGATATCATACATGTGTAAGATTAAATAAACGAAGAAGGGCATTGTCGAGAGGCAAAACAATGAATTATTAACGACGGAAGGAGTATAAATTGAAACAAAACAATTCTGAGTGCCACCTACGAGTTAAAACTGCAATGTCCTTTATACAGACAACCAAAGAACAAAACCTAAGTAAATAAATAAATAAATAAATAAATAAATAAATGATTAAAATGAAAATACGAAAGGCAAGCGAGACATGGAAAATTATTGCGGAGAAAATTTAGATAATTACTAATATTCTTACTATTATTATTATTATTGTTATTATTATATTATATTATATTACATTATTATTGCCATAATGTAGGGAAGATACGTAAGCGCGATGGGGAAGAGGCGAGGAATTATAATACCGATGGTATTTTAAAAAATCATTCAAGAAAAAGGAGATGAGAATTACAATTGCCTGGGCAATAATGGTATATAAATATATATATATATATATATATATATGTGCGTGTGTACGTATATACATACATTCGCGCTTGTGTATGCGTATACACGTTGTAAAAAAATTTTTTACAAGATATCTCGAATTAATTCATTGCTCCTAAGCGTACGTTGGTTTCTCTTCCTCTCTTTTCGTTCTCGACCTCCCGAATTTAATTTTTCACTCACCCCTCGCCCAACCACCCTGTTGGCGATTTATCGCACAGTGATAAGGGTGATATTCGACGATCGATAGTCCTCGATCATTTCCAAATTCATTTGGAAGATTCTTTTCAACCTGTTGCTACGAATCATTTGTTGTAATTAAATTTTTAATTCGAATCAATGATGAAATTATAAAAATTCATTTTTAATTATGTATATCGTTAATTCTACCGCGATCAATTTCTTGTATTACTGACTTATTGTACAATTGTTCATTTTCGTAGAAAACTAGGGAAAGCCTCGATCGAGGATCATATCGATCAATCACTGATCTATTCGTTCGTTGCTCAGTATTTTAGGCTGTAAATGAATACCGATACATTCGATGTAACGATTTAAACGACTCGCAGTTACATTGTAACGGAAGGAACAGGCGACGCAGCGCTAATGGGAGACAGCTTTTTAATTAACATATAGCTTTGATTATTATTACTATCAGTAGTACACGCAGCACACGTGGATTTCCGGCACTTAGACACGCGATGAAACGGGATTTATTGTTCTAACGGATGTTCGACGTGGTTCAAAAGAAAAGAGGGCAACAGTGATTAGAATAATCATTTTCTTTTTTTCTTTTTTAAAGATCGATGCACAAGTGCAGAATCCAGTTTTAACCCTCGGATGGCGGACCATAGAGACAGGCCAAATTTTAATTTAGTTTTGTATTTCATGTTATTTTAATTTTCCAAATAATATTAGTTAGCAAATGGAAATCCTCAATTTAAAAATTATCTATTTTTTCTCTTTTGCGTTGAGGTCGGGAGAGGGAGGGAGACTAATAAAAATTAACTTGGCGTTACCGACATGAATGTAATTATTGGAAGATTTGAGTGCCTCAATTTAAAAATTATCTATTTTTGTGCTAGATAATTAGCCCCCGGACCGCGGACCATGGGGAGAGCCCCAATTTTAATTTAATTCTGTATTTTATATTATTTTTATTTTCTAAATTTTACACTGCTCTTTCAAAAATTATTCTTCCAATATACAATTTTTTTTGTTTAAAAATTATACATTTATATGTTTTGTATATTTGGGTCACGATTGGCCCAGGATCCGCTGTTCAAGGGTTAGATTGAAACGCATAAAAAAAAACAATGTTTTTCATTGATAAATGTTCGATCAACTGTTACTGCTGGTCTCGTTTCAATATATCTTATGAAATTCGATGAACGACGCAGAGTCGGATAAGAAATGAAACGTCCGTCGCATCATTTTCAAGAGACTTTAGTTAAAACCCGTCATGATTCAGTCCGTACCGTTTTAACATCGAATTTTTGCAAAGATTTTTTGGAGACAACACGATGAACGATCGACGCAAGTTTTGTAACGTTTGAAATTTGTCGTTGTAACGAAACGAGAGCAAAATGTACGATTCCGAATGAATTAATTAATGCGATGAGATAAATGATTGTTCCGCTCTCTTTATTTTCACCGCAAAAGAATCTCAAAACCGAGAGAATCAATTATCGTCGATTTTCAAATTTTCATAAATTAAGCACGAAATTTCTCGCTGTGCTTGTCACGCTGAAAGTTTTCAGAATCCGCTGGTAGAATGAAATAACGCATGCAACAGTTTTTCGAATTTCTGATTGAAAGTTAATCGTTCATTTTTGTTAATCTTTTCAAATGCACACTCGCAGAAATATATTAGAAGATATTATAACCTTCATCGAATTTACCTCTCGCTTTTGAATTCTACCGCGGTCGACGCACGAGAGGAAGAGCAAAGGGAAGAGGGAAAATGGTTTAAAAATGATATTAATCCAGTTAAGATCAAGATCGAGCCGTCACGAGCTGGCTGTGTGACGGATACTTCATTAAGGGTGATCCTTGATTAATTTACAGCCACGTTGTTCATTAGAAAGGCTGTCTTCTCGAGACAAACATCAAGATCCTTCCAAAATTAATTAATTAATTAGAAATTTCTCCATTTGTATTTAGTTGATTTAGCGATTCTAATTTATTCCCATAATTTATTGTATCTTTAATGAATAAATTACTTCATTAATTTTAAGGATTCTTGCGTTAATTTATATCGAAGTTACTATAATATTACTCGAGAAAGGGTTGTAAATAATGGAATAACAAGCAATACTAAATGCTCGAGAAGGAAGATCAAGGATCATCCATCGTGAATGCGTTTTTCATTTGTAAAGCGATCGAAGAAAATGTGGAATATGCTCAAAGAAAAAAGAAGAAAGAAAGAGAACGATAGAATCCTATCCGCGGTAGATGAATTTACCCACGTCTTTTTCCCAGATCATGCAATTTAAAATTGTTCTGTATTTACGAGATAATCTTGGATCGTATCGATTATTATAAAGGTGAGCGCACTGATTTGTAACACGTAACAAAGAGAACATTTCGGATGAATGAATGTATGAAAGGGTGAAAGAGAAAGGGGGTTGAAAAAGAAGAGAGTAAGATAGAGTGAAAGACGAAATGATTTTTATACCACCCCCTAAATCAATTCCTGCTCATCACCGAGCACCATCCGATTCAAATAAAATAACACGAGAGTCTTTATTCTGACCCTCCCCCCCCCCCCCCGTCTAGAAAGAATTATCGATGAAACGAGAGCATTCGCTTGAAAAGAAGATATCGCCTCGAATTTTTTTACAGCGTAGCTCGAATAAAAATGTTCGCATTCAACAAACTGTTCCCAATTTATTATTCCACTTTAGGTTGATCGAATATTTAATTCTTTTATTTATATAAAAGGTGCTTTCCCTCGCATCGATGATGGTTTCTTATATCTTTTTTGTTTTCGAAGAAAATTAGGGTTGTTTTAGAAAGAATCGTTCAAGATTTGATCAGTGATTAGTTGAAGGTGGAGAACGGAAAAAGAAAGGAAACTCTGATAGAATTCTTCTTCGCAATAGTATCCGATGAATGTAACATTGCAATAATAAATAATTTCAATGTCATCGATCATCTGACTATGCTCGATCAATTAAAGGGAATGGGTGGCAATGGTGGTACGAACAGGAAGTGGTAGAGGTGTCGATCGTTTCGAGAACGACTAAACTCATGTTACGTACCTATATAAGTTTTCGTATATTGCATAAAACTACGTTTGTTAAATATTTTCACTACGCCGACACGTATTCGTGTGCCTCACTACCCTCCTGCCACGTGTTATCCTACGATTTTACCTCATTCTCGCTGCACCAAAGGTGAAATTCACCCTGTCACGACAATTTTTGCGACTTTCGATTGAAATCAAACCTCGACAAACGACGCGGTCGTATTGAACTTAAAAGATAAATAAAAAAAATGATAAACGATACACATTCGTTGTTAAGTATTATCAAATTGATTAAAGATCATGAAAGAGAAGAATGAATGAACTCTTCTTACGTACTACGTGTACACGTTATTATATACATATTATTTATTTGAAGAAACAGAGCGAGAGAGAATGGAATTACTGTATGAAGAGAACAAATTTGTATCTTCTTTTCCCACCTAGTTGCTTACATTTGTATACGGCAAGAATATATTAAAAGATTACGTGAGTAGTTTTTTAAAACGATCCAAAGAGTTTCCTTTTTCACAATGACTCGTATCGCACTTATTTTACGTTTTTTATTTTTATATTTTTCCTTCAATTAGTAAAATTATTTATTGAATTCAATGACGAAGAACGAGAACTATGATTTTACATTAAACTCATTTATTGGTGCAATTAATCCTAGATATACAGGGTGTTCGATAATAGATGGGAGATTTTTTAAGGGGTGATTCTAGGGATCAAAATAAGACGAAAATTAAGACTGTCGAAATAGTGTTTGCGGCTTTGTTTCCCAGTAATTAACGTTTAAAAATTCGAATAAAAAACACCTAAAATCTGCAACCTGCCCAGCACCGACGACTGAACGTCAGGTCAGCAGGGGTGGGTATAGTCATAACCAAGAAGAGAAAGCCGAGTGCTGCACTATCGAGAAACAGAATAGCAGGAGGTAAGTTTCTACTATTCAATGATTCTCGGTTATGACTGTACCGACCCCTGCTGACCTGACGTTCAGTCATCGGTGCTGGGCAGATTGCAGGTTTCAGGCGTTTTTTACTAGAATTTTTAAACGTTAATTACCGGAAAACAAAGCCGCAAACGCTATTTCGTCATTCTTGATTTTCATCTTATTTTGATCCCTAGAATCATCCCTTAAAAAATCCCCCACCTGTCGTCGAACACCCTGTATACAATACATAAATCTTGATTATAATTTTACGGTACTTTTATGTCATAAAATTATGCGAAAAGATCCCATCCGATCAGAAAACTTACATTAGAAAGCAAGAGTTTAATTGACAGCCCATAAAATAAATTGCATCCAAAAGATTGTTTGTAGCAGACTTTGATCTATGTACATGCTATGAAAGTTCTAAACGCTTTTAGAACAGGGTAGAAGAGGAAGAGACATCCTTTTGTTTTCTCAATGCTGGTTGAAGATGCTGTTTACGATTCACCCTACGGATGTAGGTGACGTTTGGCAAGATCGAGACACGACCATAATGACACAGCTGTTGCGTCCGCTTAATCCGTGTACGCGACAAATGGAATGGTCGCTGGATTTGCTTAGACGAAATCGATTTTGACTCTGCTTCGTCGATGAATTTGTCCTTGCGGATACTAATACGCCACCTGTAGATAAAATCAATGCTCGTATTAAAACAGATGCACAAATTTTGGTACAAGTAGCACAAATGTTAATGAAACGTATACCGATTGTCACAGCTTTCCTGACAGATCTTCCTAGTCGAATTGGTTCGATTTTGCAAGAACAAGACATTCTGCCATCTGTTCTCGAATTTCTTCGCCGTCAGAGGACTGGTCCTAGATTCTTGGAGGAGAAAATTTAGCAGTTTCGCGAGAAATTTGTTGGCAAATCCATTCCTCAGAAAGAAAGGATGTTGCAACAGCTTCGAGCAACTAGGCCGTAATTCCGGATCCATGTGTAAACAATGAGCCAAGAAGTCAACCGCGATTGAATCCCAGTTAGGGAAGAGTTTACGGATCGACGCATATCCAGATCGAGGCATTCCTACCAACTCGTCCGCGCTCGTGTGTCGCAACATTCGACTAGGTCCACCGGCAATTAACGTTAGGTGCTTCGTACAAAGACCGCCTGCAAGTTAAAATGCCAGGTAGTTTATTTCAACCCCTGATCCAAACTCTGAGGATTCGCCGTTTACCAAGCGCTGTGGTGATCCTGTAGAGCTGATCGACGTCGCTCTCTCCAGGAAACAGAGGATCCCCGTTTACCATTTCCGCGAACAGGCAACCTGCAGCCCACACATCCACCGGTTTCCCATATCGTGGATCGCCAACCAAAAGTTCCGGCGCGCGGTACCATCTAGTTGCCACGTAATCGGTGCAAGACTCGTTCGCTCCGTTCACCAGACGAGCAAACCCGAAATCGCACAACTTGATTACCCCGTTCGAAGATACCAATATATTCTCGGGTTTCACGTCACGATGCACGATCTAATGGAAGAATACTTTCGTAAGTTCAAGTCTGTCGAACAGGAAAGCTTAACTTACATCATAGTTGTGACAGAAATCTAAACCCCGAAGGACTTGGTACACGTGCTGCTTGGAGATTTCCCAGCCTAAACCGCCTCCTAGACGTTCCAATTCATCCAGCAAAGTGTGGTCCATGTACTCGAACACCAAATACAGTCGTTTCCTTCGACGAAATGCTTCGATCATATTTACCAGATTCTCGTGGCACAACTTCTATTAAAAAGAAAAATAAAACAAGCTAAAATGAAATAGAGCGAGATTCGCTCTAGAGCCAATTCAGACTGGAAGTGGTAAAAAAAAAGAAAAATTTTTTCGGCCATTCGTTGAGATTTTGACCTACACAATGGCGCAAGAATTTTTTCGATAACTCTTACCGTTTGGCCTGTACAAAAGAGACAGAAAGTCTAAACGCTATAGCCCCCTTTTCAAGATTTTCAATCTTAGATACGGGTTGGCTAACAAGTTAAAGTCGATCAATGGAATGATATTGACTTACGTTTAGCATTCTGATCTCGCGGTATGCCATTTTTCGCACCTGCAAATCGTCCTCCGTTTCCAGGAACCGTTTGATGGCCACCAGTTGTCCTGTCTCGTTATGTTTACATTTCATCACCACACCGTAGCTTCCTTCTCCTACGATCCCTATCGTTTCGTATTTGTCCATCTTCCTTTGAGCGCTGCAACAATTTCTCTCCTTCTTCTTCTCCTGTTTCTACGTCACTTTCATCTTTCCAATACAAGTTAGAAATTTATCGGGCTTTAATGCAACATCCTCGGACGGAATATAGTCGAATGTCATGCCTGATCGATATTCGACCGGTTCATCTTCTTATATTGAATCTAACAATTGATCTATACATATATTAGAAATGTAATTATTAAAAGATACACGAGCGAGTTTCGACAATCAATTTACGCTCTTTCATCATTCCATAATAAATATAAGGAAGCAGTATAAAATAAGCAACAGCGTTGGGTGCGGAAGCATGGCACTGCTTGTCGAAAAATAAGAAGTGAAGGAAGAGGAGAACCAACGTCGTCCGTGTCGACTCAGTCTCTTATATTGGCTCCGTGCTGCAGAAAACTGCAAGTGGTACAAATGCTCGCGTAAAGAACCGCGAGGACTGTTCTCTGTTCGAAAGTAATTTCGTGCTGCTGTTCCGGAACATCGACGAAGAGGAGCGTTCCAATGATCATCTTTCGACGAAGCTAGAAGTAGTATGTAATCCCCGTTCCAATCGAGGCTAACTCTTGCTTTGAATAACAAAGTTGCTGGAGCCTTAACAGTTCGTGGCATGCAGCTCTTCGACCATAAATTCAGAGCGAAGCTTTTCCCTGATTTCGTTGACGCTCCCTTCGTTCTCTTCGTTCCTCTGCTTCTTTTCATAATTCTGTTACAAAGAGTCGACACCGCGTTACTGACAGGAATCGACAGACTCTCGAGAATCTGTAACTCCAGTTCTGTTATACCAGAGGGTAACGCAACGCCTTTTCGAGTAAACGAAAAAATAAGATTTTTCTTCAACCTATCCGTAACAATGTGGTCGCTGAACGTCTTTCTGCTCGATTGTTCAGAGTTTCGAGTGGTAAACAGTCTCCTAAATCCATTCGTCGAATCTTGTTTCTGGCCGAATGCTCTCTGAATGTAAATGCCAGCTGCGGTCACCATGTACAAGGAATTCAAACACGTGGGATCGGTGTAATACGTCCAACGAGCGGACCATCGATTATTCTCAGAGTAAATTCGGAAGAATCTCTTCGACCAGAATCCTCCCTCGACGCTTTCGCACCTAACGCTCAACCAGCGACCACCGATCACCGCTGGAAACGATGGAGCTTGGTGAAACAAGGGTGGGCTGGATTCGGTGGCACGAAACACGCTGCCACAAATCGGGCAATCAAGAGCCTGTAACGTTAGAAATGTTATAGATGCAAGCTCATATTTTATAGAAAAAGTATTTGAATCACAGTCCTTACGGTATCAGCGCGTAACAACGCTGTGGATTGCAGTCGATTCGGTGTGCTTTCGGAACGAACGTTTCGAGTCAGTTCACCGAGTAATAATTCTACTCTTCTACGCTCTTTATCCGCTTGCTTTCGTCCTTTCCTCTCTACTCGAAGCAACCTAAGTTCAGTAAATTCGATCCCGAAAGATTCTAAGCAGTCCAATGTATTTCTTCTTCTGGGTCGTAGTAAACGACTTTGGAGAGAATTCGAATTCAGTTCGTAATCGGTCGATGGAGAATCTGAGTGTTCATAAATAAGTTGTGCTAAATATGGCCGCCATTTTGATTCAATACCCCCGCAACTCGAATTCATCTTGTGTCCAAATTTATGAGCGATCTGAAAACAGACAGTCTTAGAAGAATATCTGCAGATACTGCAAGCAAATGATAATTAATTTACCTGTCTATTAAGCGGTATCAAGTGAACCGAAAATAATTGGACATTGGCTTCTGTAGCACCTGGGACCGCGATTGAAGGTGACAAGATTTTGATAAAACCACGAGCTACCACGGTATACGTCGCGATGCTGCAAGATTCTTCTGCATAATGGTATTGCAACAGGAGGAATGTTCCATTTTCGAAGAAACTGTACTTTCTTATAATGTACTTGGAACCAGCCCGTGTCTCGCATCTAAAAAAGAATAATTTTTAATTTCATTTTCCTTGTTAGATCAAGAAATCATCGGGAAGATACTTACTGCTGCGATAACCAAGTCGAGTGCAATCTATATGGGGTATTATCCGTAATAATTGTTCTATCTTCGGCAACGATCCTCTTCATCATTATCTCACACCGATCGTCTTCTCTTTCCGCTTCCAAACAAATTGCGGGATCAAATCCTAAAAATAGGAACAATATAATTGTTGTTTTTTAACATCTGATTGTTAATTCCTTCTTTTCTGAATTTTTTTGGGGCTACTTCAGTTTTCCATGATCCATGATGGTAATTCATGGTAAAGGAAAAGAAAGAAAATAATTACATTCAATTCCTACCACGTTCGCATTCCCGCGTCTTTCTTGTTTTATTTACACTTTTGCTATCTTTTCGATTGGTATTCCAATCGAATCGACGGAAAGACGCGATGTTATGAGCTTCGTGATTTTATGCATCGAGCTAAGGAACGCGCGTCAGTTATGGAAGAATAAAATTTCGCAAGCAAATATATTGCTAAAATTATTGTAAAACTATTAATCGTCAAAAAATCATAGTTTGTTGAATATGGTACATTTAAATTTACTTACTCATCAAGAGACCCAGAATAGCGATAGCAATGATCGATGGCATGCCCGATCATTAATGCAGGATGTTTCCCTTTGTTAATGCAAATCAATGTATTAGAATGACAATTTTTTCACGTTATTTAAACTGAAATTGAAAGTGAAATTTATCTTACCGTTTTCCTGAAGCTCTCTTCGAATAATCTGGATAGACTCCAACCTTGATCAACACATCCAGAGAATATATAGCTTTATCCCTTCCTAGCTTTTGTTCTTTCTTCAGGAGTAGACACACGTGCTCGGTGTGCATTTTTCTGCTGAAAAAAAGATTAAAATACGATATTCTTTTCTCTAACTTATATAAAAAGGAAACATTTACTATTTCAAAGTATATGTATAATATTCTTTTAGCAAGTAATAAGATGCATTTAAATGCATACAGAAATCTTTTAAAGTAGACACTTTTCCATTTGTTAATTCGGACGAACGCTAAATTTAAATTTAAATTTATCCAAGCATAAGACACATTTTAAAACAGGGAGGGCGCTGTATTAGACTTGCTCTGTATCACAAGTGTATCAAACTAACCTGTTTGAATTTTTCAATATTATTTACACCAGACGTTTTAAGTTAAATTTGAATGCAAAAGTATTTTATTATTTCATACTGATCCCGTGTAAAGTTTTGATGCATAAATATACTTAGAGATTATTGTAGAAATGTATTTGAATGTCTCCACGTTGCAGTCACGTAAAAGAACACTATTTATCATTGAAATCTACAAAGTTTTACTGTAATAAGGTGAAAGAGCGCGTGGATTAAAAAGAAAGATTACTCGATACGTTTAAAATGGCAAAACTCTATTCATATTATACGTTATGTCCCCTGATCGACCAACAGAATTTGTTAGGCGTCGAGAGAGATTCCGAATGTGGATGTGCAATAGTGACATTAGGAAGAAATATTGTAATTCGATACAAGGTATTTAACAATCTTCATTCATAATTTGTATTTATATCATGTAATCGTGATATTTATTCTATTTGCAGCTACAAGATTTGAAGCAATTGAGTAGTTGGTCAAGCAAAGACCGATTAACAACACAAGTTATTTATGATGAAACGACGCGTCAGTATGCAGCAATATTTAACGAGAAAAAGATACGTCTTTGGTCTGCGGAAGAGACAGATTTAAATAACGTAAAAGGTTATAAATTTCAATCCGCTCTGCATACGATCCTCACTCATGAAACGCATCCTCCTGTATTGGTTCGCAAAGATGGAGCTACTGCTTCTTTAGAATGGGCTATAAAGAATAGAAAGTCATGGTCTAAGAAGGGAATTTTAAATGCCGACGAGAAAATTTTAGACTGTCATTTAATTTGTAATGCTGGGAAAATTAGTTTATGTCTATTAACTGAAACTAAAGGAACGTACAATTCTGTATTGGTTAAACTTAACAATGAAACATATTCTGAAGAAATGGATCGTATAAATAAAATGGAGTTAAAGCAAAATTCAGAAGAATTAGTTGGTCATGCAGTGTTACAAACTAAAACCAGAGCTTGCCTTTTAACATTGTGTAAGTTGCTTCATTTACTTTACTCAAGGGGTAACACCACTTTGACCGCTTCGAAATTGAAGGCTTTTTCGGGAATTTTTTTTTAAGAAATGCAAAGTGTTTATGAAAATCCAGTTATACTAATTTATTATGTATATATTAAAGTAGAAATCTTTTTTTTTGTTGATATATGAAAAATGGCGGGCACGATAACTCAATATATCTTAAATTTTTCCTTTTATCAGGGTCTCATGGCAAACTGCACAGTTACCCATTAACAGAAACCAATGAATCTAGTTCAAGCACATTAATTGGTATAATCAATAACATTAATACTAAACATCCAGTTGTTATGACACCGCTAAATGAAACCACTATAGCAGCATATGGGGCTGATGCCTCTGAAGAAGGTGCTGTACTGATGATCTATAATGTACAGTTCAAATTGGTACAAGATGTTCAGAAATTGAAATTATATACAACAGATGCAAAATTATGGAAAATTGAAGATAAATTATTGCTTGCTGCTAATAGACACTTAGCAATTGCACCTTTCCATCTGGCCCCTCAAAGAATAGCAACTTTACTTGGATCGTCTTTAAGATTCAAAGCTAGCGACGAGAACGCGGACGACGACGAAATTGTCGTAATACAAGAATCAACAGTAGCGCATTGGGAAAAAGGTGGATCAAACCCTATTAAACAACCAATACAAAAACCTCCTGTGAAACTTTCCAAACAAATATCGTCTTACATGAACGAAGGACTGAGCGATGCTGCGATACAAGAAATGTTAATTCCACAGTTAATAGAATCAAAGGACGTCGAAGGAATTTTATGGTGTTTGAATAACTTCAAAGACCTGCCAGAAAAATTATTAGCCGATCTTTTAATCTTTTGCCTAAGAAGTCCTGAGGAAACATTCGTACCAGTACAAAATGGTACAACTGATGATTTTCCAGCTAACAAAATGTTGTATTCAAGAAATGATTTTCTTGATAAAATTTTTAGTCTTACTTATTCTGATATTTCTTTGTCGTCGTATCTTAAAATTGGTTTAAAGTTCGACGAAGTACTTCAATTGTTACAGTATTTAATACAGAAATTAGATGATCAGGAAGACTTTCTCGACAATATTGTTCAACAGCCTACCGATAAACAGTTGTACGAATGGTCTAGCTTATTGTTAGAATCTCATTATCACCAGTACATATTATCAGGAGATCCAGAAGTGTCCATCCTTCTTAATAAACTTGGTTACGTTTTAGACGATCATGTAAGTGTTCATACAGATTTTCGTAACTCTTCCTTCATTATAAAATTTATTTTCACTTTGACCACTAATTAATTTTCTTTACAGCTACAATTGTTTAAAGATATGGAAAATTTAAGGCCTATTTTAAAACGAACCATTAACGGAAAATCTTCGAAACTTTTACAAAAAAATCGTAATAAGTTCTATGCAATAGAAGAAATTAAACTTTATTGAAATTTAAGAACCTTCCTTTCTTTTTCCCCTAAATATTCTATATAAATTAGGTTGTAAAGTATTTCATCCTTTCTGCATAAATGTACATAAACTTAGCAATCGAAAACCCCTTATAATGTACAGAAAACAAAACCAAGAATAAACAGTTTTTATTTTTATTCATATCTATACAGTTATATCTGCTGCAAATAAATGTAGCTGATTATTAAATATGTGTGGTGACTTAACTTGGTAGCTTACGTATACCTTAGCCTCAATCTTCACAATGCTGAAGAGAGTCGGTACTGACTTCGTGCTACTTGTCTCTTTAGAATAACAGATGTTTTTATTTATTTCAGTTCATCGACATATGGTACAGTTTTCAAATTGCCAACAGCAGCCATACTTAGCTTTCCTTTAGCAAGTTTATCAGCAACCTGAAAGAAATTATCGTTGAAGTAGAATGTAACGAATCTCTTAAAAATTATATTGCCGCTAGTACATACAGATTTAACGTTAGATGCTGAAACTTTCTCAACATTAGCAATTAAAGAAGCTGTTGAAATAACTTGTCCCTTGGTTATAGCTTGTTGTTGTAAATTTTCTAACAGAAGGGCTTCACTGTCGGCTGTATCCAGAATTTCGGCTTTCAATATAGCTTTACCACGAGCAATGTCACTATCAGAAAGTTTGATAGATTTCAACCATTTGGTAGATGCTTTTATTAGCTAAGATATAAAAAATGAATTAACATTAACAAACATAAGAGTAATACGTGTAGTCACAATAATTATATTCCTCTTGTATTTACTCACAGATCCAGCAATATTAGGTGTTGAACACAAGACAACACCGAAAAGTCCAGAATCTGAGTAACTGGCATTGAAAGTTGATAAAGCGAATGGATCTGTGCCCGCGACGTTTGCAACTTGTTTGTATAACGGGCTCGAACTATTACCCCATTTAACTCTTGGTCCACTACCAGACGCCCTTTGAAGAACGGCACACGCTAGAGCATCTTGCTCGTTTTTTAGACTTACACCTTCAACAACTACCGCTACGTTAGTCAGGTTTGATCTCGATTCCTTTCGAATTTCGCCGCCAAGGTATGGCGATGCTTCGTTTGGAGTATCTTCCGAACCAATTTCCAAGTTGTTTCCAAAAGCAACAAGGTCTGATAGTGGAAGTCCAGTTGCTACAATTGCGCATTTTGGTGCCGTAAACCATGAGTTAGTAAAATGCTGTAGCTGTAAACAGAGAGGAAAACTTTATTTAATAAAACAGTGTGTCCTATATCTGTCAGAAAAATGAGAAATAATCACTTACAGTTTCAGTATTAATTTTACCTAGCTGATGCTTCGAAGAGTAAAGGGAATTTCCAAGCCCTGTACGATAAGCAGCTTTATGTACACGTTCAAGTACTAAAGTTGTTTCAGGCACAGAAGCCAGTTCATATTGTAATCTGGGTAATTGATCAGATAACTCCCATGGTTTAAAGACTTGCTTGGTTGCAACACATTCCAGAAATTTGAGAGCATCAAAGCTGTCAATGTAATAAGATTAGATTGTAGTAAAAAGTATGTAATTTACTTCAAACAACAGAATAGAGAATTAAAAAACATTTACATATTATTTCTGGTAATCTGCAATGTATATGCTATACTTTCACGATCTATAATGGTCATTAAATTTCCACCAAGTTGCTGAATATTCCTTGTTATAGCAAAACCAGACGCAGCTGATGTACTTTGTCCTGCCATCACCCGCAAATGGTGCATCACACCTTGCGTATCATACGTTTCATTTCGAGACCCAACTCTGTGAACAACATACTTATATATGGAAGAAATTAAAATCATATGGATTTTATTTAAATTATACATACCTGAATAGAATGGATACTTGTGTAATTGGAGAGTTATTATCATAAGCAGCAACAGTGACCTTATTGCTCAGAACTTTACATTCAGGTACAGGAGCATTGTAAGATTGTGCAGCTGCTGCAACTGCATATTGTCTAACCTTGATTTACAAAAAAAGGATTTCTAAATTATATTCATATTTATTTTTTATCTAAAAATTTCAAATTTTTATTGCTGGAATGTTTCCAAAATGTGTATTAACTTTAAAGAAGAATTAACTTTAAAGAAGAGTGATACCTATCAAACAATTATAAATGACAAGTTATAAAATGAACAATTAACATTCGATCACAGAAAGAAGATAATTACTTTCTGTACTCCAATCTATGTAACCAAATCAACAGAATATGACATAAAGAACAGTACTGAGTCGTTTACATAACACCTATGTGAGCAGTTTTATGATCATGAATTACGAAAAGTAAATGTCTCCTAATAAAAGTTATAGAATATAAAGGATAAAATATTGAATACCGTGGAACCACATAGCAGGGACGACCGAACAGCCGAAGAAACCATTTTACTATCTTTCAGCAACTCCAAGGGTTCTGCTCCAAAGTAGTGGAACCAGGCCCTCCAAACTCCACTCTTGTGAATTTGATGCAAATTTTAACTCGTACAGTGAAAATCCAGGCGGCGCTAATGTCGCTTTTCCACATGCATAATTCCATCAGTCAGTGACTACAGATAGCAGAAGAGTGGACATATCTTTGTTCTCAAAGGGTCGTGAATTTGTGCCTTGAGACTGGGGAAAATAAATGATCAATTTCCTGAATCACTATATCTACAAAATGTGTTTTTAATTTTCATTATAGGCTCGCAGTATAAAAGTTGAAAAATTATCCTTCACTATTCTTTTCTCACGATTTTAACAAATTGTAATTTTTTTAAACGATCAAGCACACCATCTAATAGATTAATTTTTTACAGCTCCTCACAAAACCTCATCTGATCCATTTTTAAAAAGAACATTTTGTTTTAGAGGGTGTGAACATACTTATAGACGTACATACATAGATGTATGTATGTTTTGTATTGTATGTATGTAAATTAATTTATTATGTATAATGTAATCTTGCGAGGAAAGTGTGTGTTTTATTGTATGTATGATTGTGATTAATTGTATATTATTATTGATATATATACATTTATTATATTTCAGTAAAAATTTAATATATTTCCATTACTGTACATATATTGTTGTAACTTTTTCCCTTCCATTATTTTTATTTTTCAAAGTTTTGAATAAGTAAGACCATGCACACGTATATATACCGCAGTTCACCAGAGTCCATAACTGCGACGCGCAGGTTGGAAGATGGTGGGGGAACGCAGCGAGCTCTCTGCTAATCGTTTTCCACTTCGTTTGGGAGTATCGCCAATCAGGGCGAAGATGCGCACTGGAGAAGCGCGAAGAACGAAAACTGGTCTTTTCGCAGTTATGGACTCTGGTGAACTGCGGTATAAGGACCATGTGCTTGTTGTGTATCTCATCGATATCATTTATATGTGTTCGTAGCGACACCAGCGATCCTGGAATTCCTGAGGCGTACTAATTTTCGTTACAGCATGAAATACGAGAGTTTGGAGAGCCTGGATCAGCGCCATGGTGTAACTGTTTGAATCGCTTCAAGCCGCGATACGAGTCGGCAGGCATCAAAAGAATAATCGATACCGGTATCGTTTTACGTATCGTTTGAAATACATAGTTCAATTACAAATAATTAAAATACATCTCTAGAAAGAATCCTTGCAACAAAATTACTTCAAATCATGTTTCCTTTACAAATAGACTCCTTAATCTGAGACTGCTACATTTAAATTGTTCAAAATTCATAAGTTAATAACAATCACCTACCATGAACAACCACCTATTAGAATAATTCCAGGCGTTCAAAGGTTAGAGAATAAATCGATGCTTTATCGTTTTCAATGAAATTTACGTTCAAATTAATTTAAAATAGCTTCATCAATGAAAGGATGGGTGTCTGTGCAAGAAGAAGCATACTCTCTGGCACCCCATTTTACGCTTGGGGGGGATGGAGTTTTTTAACTTTCCTTGGAATCCTCGTGGCAATCGGACTGTTTTATTATCATTTCATTTATGTACGTGTAAATACCCTTATTTTTTTGATCATTATTAAATATAGTATAATATAATGTAAATCCTGTTATTAAAAAAAAATGTTTCCCACGGCTAATTTTTTGGGAATGTAAAATTCTTACTGTATCTGATATATTACAGAAATCCTCCTGAAAGAATAGTAATGACTTCATTTCAAATCTGGCCCAGCCCGAAGGAAGAAAAGGAGGGGGATATTACCTAAACTTTCATGGTGAGGATTAGGAAGAAATGCATTCCAGAAAATAAAAGAAAATATGATTTTTTATAATTTACAAAAATCCATATAAAATATAATAGATGTTCAAATTCTATCGAATGAAGTAACTTATATTTAAATATCATTTATGAACATCATTGTATTAGAAGAAGCGCAGTTACCTATGAAAGACACTTATAGAATAAGTGACTCAGCATCGTATACAGAAAGCGTGGTGCACTTTCGAACAGTTTAAATCGATTAGTCTGATGCAACATCAAGGCCAGAAACATAACTCCAATTTTAACAACACCTGCAATCTGCGCGTCTAGTTCAAATCGTTCTATCCCAAGGGTGTCTGTTCCGAAACGCGTCTACCATCTCCCCTCGGTATTTAAAACCTATCGAACATCGTAAACCTAGAAATCAACAGACGCAGATGAGAATTTCAGTCAACAAACGGGAATTATTTCGTCACGTTCAAAAGGCTGATTCAACCCTGACGCCGGGAACTCGGGGAATCGACCTATCGCTGTCCGCGAGTCAGCTCGTCCAATCGTTTCACCGGAAAGTGGTGTGCGCCTCTGTGACGCACTTAGTGCCACGCTGGCAGTTCAATTGACAATTGCGGGATTCGTGTAGCGTGTGTTCGACGCATCCTCGTGTGAAAAACAACAACAAACGGTTATCCGAGGAGCTGGTGAATCGTATTCTTCTAAAGTTCCTTAACGTTAGACGTGCGGTCTAAGCGAGTGGCTCGAAAGTGGCACGTTAGAAAAATGTTCGTACGAAGAACGTACAAGCTTTCAGACTCTCGCTCTTTCCTTCTGTGTCCCTCTCTTGCTCTCCCGATGCAGTAAAATCTTCAGGGTGGGGCGAAGAGGCCAAACGTCCGTCCGTCTGTCCGTGACGGGCTCTTTTGCTCCGTTAGTCGGCTGGTGTGTTGTATCGCGTCGAGGTGCAACGTCGGTGCAGTGCACAGTGTTTTTGATGGGAGAATAACGCGGTGCATACCACAGGCACACGCATACACACCGATATACGACTCGTCACAGTGTTTGCGTTAATCAACGAGAATCGAGATGTCGTCGGACATGAATCTGATGGATTTCCTATTCCCGCGGGAGGATGCGTTCTTGAAAGGCGATATTAAGGACGAGCCTTTCATAGATCAGACCTACAACGACGACGCCATCGCAGTGAGTCCATGCAGCACACGCTTGTCTCATGCTCGTTTCCCCTTTATCTTCTTCCTTATGCACACGCCCATATTCAAACGATTTCTTTCCCGAGGAAGAAGAGACAATGAGAAGCTCGCGATGAGTCTTCGTGCACTATGGACTGACTTTTTTTCCGTCGCTAGATCGCGTGGAGATAATCACTCGTCGGGGAAAAACAAGCGAGTTCACACAGCGAGCAATATGCTCGTTTCTACTGATCTCAAAGTTCTCGGAAATTGGCTTTGAAACAGACTTCTCTTTATGTAACCCGTGTATAATCTAACTTCTGATAATAGGAAGTGTCTCGATTAAAAAATGATTTTTCAACGACAGGGAAACCTTCGCAAACACGTACTCATGTTTTATGCAACGCTGATTAGCGGAATATCGAAAACAGGGAAAAACAGGTGTGTCGGAGATTGACGTTTACCGATTAAAGTCTCGTTTGATAGTTAACTGTATCGTAAAAAATCGGAGTAAGGTAACGGTGCGCGTTCCACGCTTTTGTTCCACTTTCGAATTCCATGTTGATTATTATTTGCAAATTCAACGGTGAAAAATCCAGACTCCGTTCCGTTGAGCGACGGGAGAACGGAGAGGCGAAAAAGTACGCCGGCGTTTCTCCATGGTCCGTGCTACTTTCATCCTATCTTCGATTCACCGTTCGATCAAAGTTACCGAAGCATGCTTTGCTTTCATCGCTAACGATTATATCCAATTATGAGCCACCAAACGAACTGTATTCATAGATTCCGTTCAATTCCTCTAATGTACTCAGTGAAAGGAGTAGAGTGATAGCACGAAACAGTCGCCATAGCTAAACAGAACCTCGCCGTTGATTTGCAGTAACATATGGCGGCTGCGACTCACGTGTCGCGGTTCTTGTAAATTGTATTTACAACGACCAGTCGATCGTTACGCTTTATCATCATTCCGAGACAATTTATCACTGCTTGTCCTATATACAGTTATCAGGATATATATAATTACCCAAAAGTCGTCAAACAGCGTACGATTCCTGTCTGAATAATTTATAAGCACATGTTTTGATTGCGTAACAAATTTTCTCCATCGATATCTTTTGTCATAATTATCAAATACTATCACCTGGCTCGTTGTATATTTTTATTAAATTGATAGAAAATCGAGGAGATTACGGTTATTATGTAAGCGAGGTGAATTTTTTGTAACATATGGAATCGCTTGGTGCACGTGCCGGCACGGCGAACGCCGCCATATTGATGCTTCTATTACCTGTACGATGAACATTTTAATCTGTATACATTGAATGTATACATTTAATCTCTATACATTGAATGTATATTTTCATTTCCGATTAGACGCTAGGATAAAAATACTTTGTTCAATGTTTTTTTCGAATCGTTAAATTCGACAAACAATGAGTTGAAGTATCTTTCTTTTCTTCTGACTAAGTCTACGGTAAATAGAGCTTAGTATCGTATCCATGACTGATTTATGGTGTTATTAGACAGCGGAGGTAAATGTCTTTACGCTTGGAATAAGGCGAATGCAAAGTTACTCATCATGGCGAGTGACCTTCGAAAGGAAAGTACCGTTAACTTACGGGACTCCTTATAAACAGTCTCAAAAATTGTTAGTCCCTCATTTTTAGCCGGAAACAATGGAGGGTAATTGGCTCGGAATGTACACAGATGCGCTTGTATTTTCGTTAAACGCGTTCGCGGTTACGTATTCACGAATGAACGATTTCATTAAAGAAGAGAGGAAAATTTTACGGTTGATTTCATACGATTCATGAGAGTTTGATTCGCTGAAAAAGGAATCTCGGAGCAGTCGGATAAATACAGGAACATCCCACGTTAGCTCAGACTTATTTTTAGTCCTACGCTGTATGGAGAAAATCGCACAATAGTCGTCCAATTGTTTTTTTTGAAACTTTCAACTTGTCTATAATTCCATTTTGAAAATCTTCACCGAGTTTAATTAATTATTCAAGGATGTAGCTAGAGGAGACACAACGAGCACTCGTAAAAACGCGATTATTTGAACGAGTCTCTTTTCCACGGTCGCTTCACTATATTTACCATTACTCGTTTCTTGAAAACTGGGTTACCGACATTGGCCAAACGCTTGTGATTCACGCGAGCCGAGTGACAAGCACAATGCGAGCGGCCATTTTTCAAGCGCCGCTATAAGCTGATTAGAGCAACTTTCAGCGAGATCTCAGAGTTGATCGCGCATCGTTCGAAAAGCAAACTTCTCGATACGAAGATATAAATCCGTCGGGTCAATAATCCCGATCTAAATGAGAGGCGATGCGCGAACCCGAGTTATCCTAGAGCCAAGTAAAAGTCTGGCTTGCTTCGAGGAAACTTGAAATTTTCCACGCGCAACGTCTGTAATCGTCGTTCTAAAATTACCTTTCGAATCATCCTGGATACTGACCGGCGGGAATAACTTCATTCCTGTTTCACGTTTGTTTCTTCAAGGCGGAAGAATGGCCGACGAACACGGACGACTTCCTCGACTCGATCTTCAAACTGGAGGATAATCAGTTCAGTTTGATCGACAATGATTTAGAAACAATTCCGTCCTCCTCGTCGGACAGCGGACTCTCCAGTGCTCTCAGTTTGTCCTGTGAACAACAGTTGAGTCCTCTGTTGCCGATCGAGGAGGATCAGGTGGAAATAAGCAACTCCGAGATGAGCAGCCCTCAGAATATCATGGACTTCGAGTCTTTAGGCAGCCCAAATCAATCTATGGACAGTCCGGTGAGATCGGTCATCAGCTCTAACATCGATTCGCCCGGAGCTGGAGATGTTGCCGAAGAAATGGACGTCGAGCACACTCTCGTAGCGGTTGTGAACCCGAATAACACGCTCGCGGATGGGAACGCTATTGTAACGGAGCAACCGGTTGTCGATATAGTAGGTAAGGATTGCTCGAGGGTAGGAAGGGTTAAAAAATTCGCAATATCCTAAAGCGTTTCATGCGTGGTCGCTCGTTACTCGGTCACGCCCAAGAAACTTGTCGCTGAACCGAAACGGTAAAGGCATACGAGCGAGGCAAATCGAGAGGAATGTGTGTCATAAACGCGGCGCGGTTATTGTTCTTTCTATCGCGATGAAACGTCCTATTTCTAGAGTTCAACAGTTTGAACAGATGCTGGTGTTGGTCGTTCATTGAATAACATTTGTTTGAATCGAACGAAACTTATCAAGTTCGATTCGAAGCGATAAAGTTCGTCTAAAAATAACAAGAAACTTCTAGACGCTGTTAAGGATTGAAATCTTCTGATTTCTAGACAAAACACCGAAGCAACAGATACACGTTGCATCGCAGGAAAGCAACACGATAAACGTTCGCAATATCACGTGCAATGGGAAAAGAAATAGTATCAGACAGTTGATACGCGTCACGCCGATGGGTTCCGGAAACCCGAGGTCCATTTTACTGCCGGTTAGTCTGAAAGATATGAAGGAAGTGAGGACTATCAAAATCATCAACGCGTCGCAAGCGAGGAATTTGAAAGGGTTCAAAATCAATCAGGCTAATATAATTAATAAACCAGTTCAGGTAATTGAAATGTTAATTTTGAAAAACGTTAATTGGCTGGTGCACGAACTGCACGAATTACTTTATGGCAGTTTATGGCAGGAGCCATAAAGGGCCCGCACGGAGGTCCTGTACCGAAGAGCTCTGCAGAACTGAAAAATAATTTAATACTAATATTTTTTGAGGCCTTCCAGGCGGCCAGGTATATATTTATTTTCAAGATATGAAATAGATAGTTATTTTTCACTGATTAATCTAACCTAACCTAACCTAACCTTTTTCTATCTAATTGAAACTAAAAGAAACCTCCCGCTGCTGATCGAACGGGTTAAAGGTTGTACGGTGTAATCCGCGCAGGAGGAGCTTAGCTGGCTCCTTCGTACAGGACCTTCGTGCGGGCCCTTTATGGTTCCTGCGATAAACTGCCATAAAGTAATTTGTGCAGTTCAAGGCCCACCCGTTAATTGATGCAAAAGTGTATCGAATAATGAGGTTATTCTCGTTTTGTTTATTTAACAGATGACCATTAAACAAGAGGATTCGAGCAGCGAGAAAGGTTGCAACTCGAGCGACGAGGTTTCAGAGACCGATTCCCCGTACCCGAGGCTAAAACTGAACGCAGAAGAGAAACGTTTGCTGCAAAAAGAAGGAATTACCCTGCCGACTCATTATCCGCTGACAAAGTACGAGGAACGGGAATTGAAGAGGATCAGACGCAAGATTCGCAACAAAATATCCGCCCAGGATTCGCGGAAGAGGAAAAAGGAGTACGTGGACGGGTTGGAGGATCGGGTGAAGCAATGCACCGAGGAGAACATGACGCTGTTGAAACGCATCAAGGCGCTTCAATTGCAGAATCAGAGTCTGGCCGGGCAACTGAAACGGCTTCAGGCACTGTTGCAAAAGGGCAACAAGAGCGCCCAGCCAGCCACTTGTCTGATGGTCTTGTTGCTCTCATTGGCCCTCGTTGCTGTACCGAATCTGCGGCCCCACTCGAATACCAACAACGAACTCTCGCAGGAACAGGAACAGCCTGAAAAGATGCCACCGTTAGCAGGTGAGTCGAAAGTTTATCAATTTCACTCGTCATCAAACTATCATACCTTTATGTATTTCTATAGGGTTATCCAAATTTAGTGAATTTATTTTAACACAAAGTCTACTGTATGATATAATTTATTTAAATGTCCTCCTCGGCCTTTTTCACGAGCCTGATGCTTTTCACCCAATTTTTCATTATATTTTCACCCAAGTGGAATTCAATTTCATCAATAGCGACTGTGATTTTGTTGCTCAGCTCGTCAATAGTCTTTGGATTATTGGCGTAAACTTCACTTTTCATAAACCCCATAAAAAACTCTAATGGTGTTAAATCATCCAATCTTGGTGTCTCCTCCTCGTGAAAAATTACTCGTTCGTTAAATTTGATCAAACGTGTGAAACTCGCAAAAAGAAACGGAGAAGGATATTGTTTTTCATAATTAATGTCATAAAATAGACTTTGTATTAAAATAAAGTAACCATGCAAAAATCAAATACTTTGCGTTTTATTTCAATTTCAAGATGTGACACTCAATTTGGATAACCCTATATTAACCCTTGAACAACGGAGCCTGGGTCAATCGTGACCTAAAATAATCTAAAGTTAAATGTATAATTTTTAAACAGAAGAAAGTAATATGAGATAGATAATTAAATTGAAACTATGGCTTTCTCCGTGGTCCGCCGTCTTGGAACTCCCTCCATGGTCCGCCGTCCGAGGGTTAATTGGAGCGGTACTTTATCAGATACTAAAGATAAAATCCTTCGTTTATTATTGCGTTCCCTCTTGCAAAAGTAGAAATATCTAAAATAAACTGTTATTTGCTGGATCGACTTATTGATCTTGACTTTATTAAATGAAATTATCGAAAAAGAATGAGATATCGTTCAAGGCAATTCCACCACTTTCGAGAAACCTTTCCGAACCGTTACATTAGCGGTTACCCGAGTCAAATGAGTCTGATAGCAGCCTGGCCTGGAACATTGAACCCTATAGGGTTGTGAAAGGCACGGTCGTGTTAAACGTTCCTCTTTTTTCCTCGCTTTACTTCACCGTTCAGCTGCACCTTGTTGCATCCCAGTCTCGTACGGTTCACTGGGTTTTTACCTGCGTGAAAGATGAAACGAGCGAGCACCTTTTTCTTTCATTTCTTCCTATACAAGCATCGGTATTTATGACCTAGCTTCGACCATGATGAACCTCGCTCGTAAGCAACATTACCATAACAAATTGAAAGTAAAAATAACAACGTTTCGACGGACATTCTAATGGCAAAGAATCCATCAAACACGAGTTTACTTATCAACGAGTTCGAACTGGATATTTTTCATTTATTATCGACGTTTGTTCGCTGTGTTTCGAATAATTGTAACTAAAATTCGATAAGGGGGGCATCAGCGTCGATTACCGAACACTACCATTGTTATTAAGGCTCTTGTATAATTTGTATTCAGCGAGGATCGTTAAATTAACGAGACGCGTGAAAGACGTAGCAATATCGATAACAGAAGATGCGTATATCGATGTGTATTCATTATCACCAATTGCGATTAGGTAACCTCGAGATAATTGAACGATGTTGGGCGAACGCTTTACGCAATCATCGATCGGTATTTTCAATATCCTCTCAAAGAAAATCGTATTAACATCATTCCGTTCACCTTCACAATAACGGCATTCCTTTATTGTCCAATTTGCATTTAACGACGCAACGTTTTGTCAAATCGTCGAACGTTTCAACGACGAATTCCATCGATGGCTCATGTTCGACAAGCGTTGCAAAAAAATCGCGAAAACCGATAGCTCGGTATCAGCAATATTTTTTAGATTGCGAAACGGATTCGCATTGAACTTTTTCTTCCTAAACCCGAAGAAATATGAATATCGGAATTATTTCGATATCACGGAGAGGAGGAATTTTTTTTTATGCTGCAGACGCTTTATCGGGAATACATGACGAATTTCGATAAAAAGAGTAAATATGACGTACAGGGTGATCAAATTATTAGAGCCACGGTATGAAAAATGGGTAATTTTAAGGTTTTTACATTGAATAACGTTTAATCAATAATCCTCCATTAATAATATAAAAAAAAAATACTTATAAAAATAAACAAGTATATTTAAAAGATTATATTTACATATGTATGTCAGTATTTCGTAACGCCACCTTTTGCTGCAATTACTGCTTCAATTCTTTTCGACATACTTTCGATGCATTTTAAGCAATTCATTTTGATTGCTTTATTTCTGGCCCATTCTTCTATCAAACGTTTAACCAATTGATATTTATTACTAATAATAAATAATCCCACAAATTTTCGATGGGGTTGTGGTCCGGAGAATTTCCAGGCCAGTCAAAAACTTCCACTTTTTTCAACTGTGTACCATAACTTTACAAGCATTAATACATCATTAAAAAATAACAACTCAGTTTAACTAGGTTTTCATTTAAGAATTAATCGTTTTTATGTAAAATCATCAACTTATGCGAGTGGCTCTAATAATTTGTTCACCCACTGTATTTCGAAATGAAAAGGTATGGGGTCGATATTAACACCGGTATGGTGAAACCGGAGCAGGCTATGGTCGAAGTTGTTCAGCTACTTTCTAAAACGAGAACAAGAAAGCTTGGATCCTTTCTCAACCTCTCGAACGGACGATCCTTTTTCATTACGCTGCAGCCTTATTTTTAGGTGTTTCCGACAAACACGTCTCTTTTTCTTGCCTCCTTGCGTCATTTCATTTTCCATTTTCAAAGGTTTTTTATAGGTCTTTCAAATCCTTTTTCATTACGCCGCAGCCTTATTTTTAGCTGTTTCCGACAAACGCGTCTCTTTTTCGTACCTCCTTGCGTCATTTCATTTTCCACCTTTCAAAGGCGCAGTATATTTCAACGTAACTTTCGTTCATTAGTCTTACAGAAGGTATAATCGGAACCTTATGGTGTCATTGAACTTGGTTAAAATTCGAACACCAATACCTTAGGACCGCTCGTACGTGGACAGCTTCGTAACCAGTTTCTCCTCGTTATGGTTACGAAACCATTCGAGCTGGCCTAATCGAATAGTAGGTGCAACGATCAGTCACGCCATAAAAACCTCGATAATTACTCCACACAAGTGATAACGACGAATTGTATAAACATGATAACTCCGTTTTTCGATCTTGCCTGTAGAAAATCATTCGAAGATCCTAAAATCTTCAATTTATGATGAATCTTCCCTATAGTATTTCAAGCGTATAGGCACTGTGGAACTGCAGCACCCCCTTTTCCACTTGATATTATCGATAACATTTAATATAATGAGTCCTTTTATCTTTAATTCTTTCTTTATACTTGTACAATATATAATCCTTAAGCTTAATCTCAGTAGCCTTCTCCTAGTTTATGAAAAAGATACAAAAATCTTTGTATGGAACTGTCCGCTTCACAGTTCCAGCGGCATGGTGTTTGGCCGTGTGCGCATGCGCACATAGGAAGCTGCGCACGAGGCTGCGCGGGAGAGAGAGCACTGTCGCTCCCACAGTACCGGTTTTTTAAAACAAAGGCTAATAATTTTCTGGAGCAACACTCCCACTAATTTTAGCTACAAGCCGCCACTAATTTCAAGGGTTGATATTATTTGCCAACTAATAGGAAGAGTGAAATTTTGAATAATTTATTATATTAAGAATAATTTTAATTTGTAGGACGTTCTCGAACATTGCTGTACACGAAACAGCTGATGGACGAGGAGCTGCAGCAATACAGCGAGGAATTGCTGCAGGAAGTGGAGGGACTTCTGGATCACGATTACAGCCCCGCGATCCAGCCACCCCTCTACAAACGTCCTCGCATGGACATGGAACCGGCGCCGAAATGCGTCTCGTCTTCGGATCACGTTGGCGGTACGCTCTGCGGACGACAGGAAATCAGTATGTCGAATACGGCTAGAAAGTACATTGAACCACCATTGGATGACGTCTGGCCACCACCTAACCCAGGCGGACAGCAGAAGGTGGTCGATAAACTCGGAGCGCTAACGAACGAGCTGAAGATCAACATCTCCGATTCCGAGGGCACGAGAACGGTCCTCGTGAAGGTGCCCCAAGAACAATAGGCAATCATTTCTATCATTTTTCTAACCCTTTGCGAGATTTCAAAAATTTTCTAAACATGTCCTTTTGAAATAAAATAGAAAACGTGCACTGCTCGGAGTGATTCCACAGAAATGTAATTAGTATCTTAAAAATGCAGTAATTACACTGTTCTACGTAGTGAATAGAAAAAGTTAGGATAATTAAAATATTATTTTCCATCGCTTCGAGCAGCAGATTGCAAAGGGTTAATCAGTGATAAAAGTAAGCAAATATGCATACTTTTTCGTACAGTTTTCTGCGTGAATATTTTATCGAAATTGCTGAGAATTCGACTACCTTCTTGTAATAGCCATCGAGATAAGGTTGAAGATTTTTCTCGACGAATCTTAATAACGTTAAGTGTCTAGTTTCTTTGTTCTTTCTTTTCGTAGAAGAAAAAAAAACGCACGGGTATCTGTGTTTCGTTTCTACCCTCGTGTGTTTTGCGTTGAGACATCGAAGATTAATCGCGCTCTTACTTATCGCGTTGCAATTTCACGAGTTTGATTTATCACCAATCCTTTCGTCTGTTAGTCAAATGCATCGATCGTTTTTTAGGTAATTTTTCAAAATATTTTTATCGATTCAACGACATTTAACGTTTATCTATTTATAAGGAGAATTTATTACGAGAGTTTTACAATTATTATTGCTGTTGCCGATGGTAAGAGATATTTGTAAATAGTCACGATACGAATCGTAAAAAAATGACACAGAGATATACAGGGTGTTAAAAAATACCCTGAAGACCTCTACACCGCTGGATAGATCACGAAAAATCGAAGTGAACAGTTCTGTAACATTTTTCGTGATCTATCCAGCGGTGTAGAGGTCTTCAGGGTATTTTTTAACACCCGGTATATATATATATATATACATATAGATATATTGAAGATATATCGTAGCTTTAATTTAACGAGATACAATTTATAATTCTGTACTATTATACACGAGAGAAGCTATTTACAAAAGTATAGTATACAGATTGCCGGTAACTCGTTGATGAAGTTTATTCGTAATTACACAGGAAGAGATGTGTAGCATGTACGGTTTCCATCCTTTGATACAGTGATAGATTCGACTATTAGATGGATCAGTTTCGTCGTATATTTTCTGGGGGTTGGGCAAAGTAGAATTAATTTAGTATCACACGAAAGGTTTGCGAACGATCCAACGGAAGTGATAACCTGCTACGACCACGATTAACCGTGAAACGTATTTAAGTGAATACACTGAGTGTTATTAACACCAGCTCTTGAAGACTGTATCATATGTTTAGTCACATAATGACGTTTTCTTCAAAAATGAACGCATATTCCTCGTTATCATCCTTCATTTACTTTTAAGTTAAGTTAAGCGATCATCGGACATATTTTTACTTTATATACGGCAAGCGACACGATGTTCGTACGTAACACGTATATTCACCGAATTGTAAATAAACACACATACACTACACATGCAATGAAAAACGTTTCATCGATCGTTTAATAGTTCGTACTTATGTTTAATCATTATTATAATTACTATTCTCTGTTCGACGAAACTCAAGGAAGAAGACAAACGCGCACAGTTCGGGCTATTTTCTTTTTTTTTAAGAATTTCGTGCACTTTCAAATATTGTCATTCTTCCAAGAGGGAATCGTAAAGTACACGTATATGCGACTGTCGAGACAAGAACGATTTTTATTTAGATAAGTTCAACGATACATTCCTATTCCAGTAATGTTTATTCAAAAATAGAACGATTCTATTTTTGCACGTATGTAAAAGGGTTGAAGGTATTACACTCTAAATTTGATTCAGTATACGTGTAACGACATTAGGGAATAAAAGTTACAACCTGAATATCATTCCTGCATTTATTTCATTCCCAAAAACCTTCTCATTCAAATTTGCATGATTTTTAAAGGCATGCTACTTCGTTTGATTTCTGTGAGGAATCTCACTGAGGAATAATTCAAACCTCGAGCCTTTTTATATACTTCATGATCATTCTTACAGTGTGTCCTGTAAGAGACAGAAATTCCCTATGTTTTTGATGAAGTAAAATCTTGAAAACATTTATTCTATGATGCATTTATTTTACCGCCAAAATCTATTCCCAACATCGTCTTTTGAATAATGACAGTAGTTTGTATATATTTGAAAAATATTTGTACCTTTTGAGTTGTTAATGAACTATAGAAAGAATGGGAGACCTAGAAAATTTGGCTGACTTATTACCCACATATTATGCCAGATTATTTCCCTTTAATGATTATTATCGTTGGCTCAGTTATGGGAATGGTACGTTTCCAACATTACTTTTAATAACTCATTGATTTTTACAATTAATAGTATTTAATTATCGTTTCAGTGAACACATTTAATCGCAGAGAATTTTCATTCACTCTACAAGATGATATCTACCTTCGTTTTCAATCATTTAAAACCTTGAAAGAATTGGAAGTTGAAATTAAAAGGCTCATCCCTTTCAAAATAGATATAGGAGCTGTGTACAATTACTGGTATGTATGACATATTAATTTTACTACTATTAAACTGTTCTACAATTTCAAAATGTTATCAGTCCAAAGGATCAGCGTAAAGGTCCAAACTTTCAACCTATTGAAAGGGAACTGGTGTTTGATATCGACATGACTGATTATGACGAAGTAAGAACATGTTGCAGCGGAGCTGATATCTGTTCTAAATGTTGGAAGTTCATGTCCGTCGCTTGTAAAATTTTAGATAGTGCATTGAGATGTATGTATGCTCGTATAATGTTTGTTTAAATGCTGTAGAGAAACATTAATTGAAAATTTTCAGTGGATTTTGGATATGAGCACATTTTATGGGTATTCTCTGGCAGAAGAGGTATACATTGCTGGGTTTGCGATCCTAGTGCGCGCAGCTTAAGCTCCTTTGAGCGCTGTGCAGTGGCGGAGTACTTACAGATTATAGATGGGGGAGAATACATGAAGAAAAAAGTAAATTTGTCTGGCGATAGAATACACCATTCTGTCAAGTATGATATTAAATTTTCTTGGAGCAAAATTAATTAATTTCTCAAATTTTACATTGTGTTCTACGTTTGCAGGCGTGCACTGGAGATAATAGAAGCAGTTTTCATTCAATTTTGCGTGGAGGAACAAAATATACTTGGAACGGACGAAAGAGTAGATAAATTTTTGCAAATATTTCCAGAAGAAGACCGACAAGAAGCGAAAGGGATATTCGATCGATGTAATTCTAGTAAGGATAGATGGGACGCGTTTGTTAAATACGTTAAAAATAAACGTCAGGTATCGTATAATTTTTGTAAAATCAAAATATGTTATGAAAGAATAGTTTGCAATATGAAATTGATCTATTTCAGACAGACAAAAAATGGAAGTTTTATCGTCATTTAGTAGAGGAAGTAATGATCCAGTATGCATATCCGAGGTTGGATATAAACGTTAGCAAAGGAATGAACCATCTGTTAAAATCTCCTTTCTGTGTTCATCCGAAAACTGGCAAAATTTGCGTACCATTTACACCGGGTACAGTAGATAAATTTCATCCCGATAGCGTTCCAACAATTACAACACTTATTGAAGAAATAAACGAGTTCGATGTAAAAGAAAAGGCTAATCAAGAAACATACGAGTTAAACGCGAGGAGGATAAAAGATTACAAAAAGACTAGTTTAAGTAAATCACTTAGAATCTTTCAGGAATTTTTGTGGGGCTTAGAAAAAGAACGAAAAGGGCAGAAAATTAAAGAAAGCGGTAAGTAGATTGTATCTTTTGTATTTGGAAGATGAATATTTTCATCTATGTTCTGTTTTGTTTATTTTTCAGATGCCAAAATGCAGTTTTAATTATAATTGTAAGGTTTCTCTGTAAAAATAATATAAATGTAGATTTTTCAAAGTGTTTATAATAAAGTTTATAAGAAAAAAAAATAAACACGGCTCAAATTTACCCAAACCCTAAAATCAATAAATTTATTTTAACGAGGAATATGTAATTATTGAGATAATATTTGAGGTGGATAAACAATTTTCTGGCCAAGGTTTAGCTTCGGACCTTGAAACCATCGATGCGAAGAGGGAACTTAAGAGACTTTAGATTAAATTAAGTTACGATTTCTTTGTTTATTCATTCAGTTGCTTTCCTTACCAAGATAATCAATCTTGCAAAGAGGCAATCCTCTTGATGGTTTCCCATTGGCAAGATCGACTGCCAAGTTTTCTAAAGAAAAAAAAAAAATTACTTTCTCCCATATGTGTCTCTGACTCTGTCCATCGTTACTTTTTCTCGTTTTTACTTGAAATACTGCACCAACGTGAAACGATTCTTCCATCAATTATTCGCATCCCATTGTCCTCTGATTCTCTAAGTAGCTTCTTTTGGCAGAGCTTCGTCGAAGAAATAATATATTGCCATTGGCAATCTCACGAATTCGATCACGATGTAAACCCGTAAATATTCGAATTCACACGTATTCGAATGAATCAGTCAGTGTCACGCGTCCGTTAAGACGTGCGTGCTGTTGGTCGTATCGAAAACCATCGCACGTTTCGCCAGTCCTTCGGCTAAAGTACACCGAAGTGACTTTGCAGCATCTCCTTTCCTCGGACAAAAGCAAACATTTGTCATGCCAGAAATTCAGATATACATACAGTGGGTCGCAAAAGTATTCGCACACCGTTCAAAACAGAATACCTCATTTAAAATTGGACCAAATGACTTTAGGTTTCTCGAGAAGCAATACAAATTAATTTACTAAGATATATGCTTCAGTCGCTTTAGAAATCGGGAAAAGAATAATAAAAGACAATTTTTTAACATTTTTAGTTGAACCTGTAATGAAAATTTAAAATATGTCATTTGTAAATTTAAGTATGTTATGTGTATGCGGAAAATTTCATCGAGATCGGCAGGGCCAGCCCTGAGATTTCGAGGGTCCGAGTCGAGCTCCGAAAAAGGGCCCCTTCACATATGTATATGATATAAAAAAAGTACCTCAAATAAGATTTATAAAATTAACATTAAAGCTTGTATAACTAATTTAGATTTGCATTTACATCGATTAATATTCAAGTAAACATTACTTTCCTTGCATCCTTAGACGCAAAATCGTTTTAGAGCCCCCGCAGACTGGAGACTTTCTATCGGTCGATAGTTTGGTTGGGTTCTTAATCAGTATGAAGATGTATGTACGCAAGTGCGCATATTCCGATTCCAACGATTCGGTATCGGCCGATAAATAAGTTTGATGGACTACACGATTCCATTCAAACCAAACTATCCATCTCTTTCCACCCTTTTTCTTCTTTTACCAACCTGAGTATTTAGTTGGCCCAGTGTGCGCTTTACATGCCAACCCGACCAAACTATCAATCGATAGAAAGTCTGCAGTCTGCGGGGGTCCTTATGGGGGCCCTGGACCTTGGGGAGCCCTAGGCGACCACCTAGTCTGCCTAGGCCCAGGGCCGAACATAGAGATCGGTCAATGCACTTGGAAGTTACAAGTAATTAAAATTTCCGAAAATCGCGATTTTTCATCTAAGAACATAACTAGTCACGTTCTTAGGTGAAAAGTCACGATTTTCGAAAATTTTAATTACTTGTAACTTCAAGGTGCATTGACCGATCTCGATGAAATTTTCAGCATACACATAACTTATTTGAATCTACGAACGACATATTTTAAATTTTCATTATAGACTCATATAAAAAAGTTGAAAAATTACCCTTCACTATTTTTTTTCACGATTTCGACAAATTGTAATTTTTTAAAACAGTAAAAGTACATAACTTTGTAAACTAATTTTTATAGCTTCTCAAGAAGCCTCAAGTCATTTGGTCCAATTTTAAATGAGGTATTCTGTTTTAAGGGGCTATGCCAGTGTGACCGCTCTAAAATTAGATGATTTTCAGGAATTTTTTTTTAATGAAGTATTACATCCAATGTTTTTAAACTTCAGGGATATATTTAGTTACAAATCATATATCTATAATAATTTTTTGGTACAAAAATAATAAAAAACAAGCGACTTATGCGCTATCTCCCAGGGCTCCAAACAAAAAAATTGCTCGACTGCTGCAGTGATTGCCGCCACCTGAGTGCTTAAAATGAAGAATAACAAAAACGCTGTTAAATTAGAAGGTATTCTCCGTACCACGAACTAGGATTTTTGAAAAATATCAAAATCTGACAAAATGGCGAAGTTTTGAAGAAAAGTTTGGAATTTAGCCTAAAAAAATAGTCGTTTTTTTAATGCCAAATTGACATTTTTCATCCAATCAAAAAAATCCTAGTTCATGGTATGATAAAACATGTACTGAACACGCTGAAAAAGTTTCGAGTCGATGCAATAATTTGTATTCGAGTTAGAGCTGCAGGAAATTAGAGCTGACATGCCAGCAGTTACTCTTTAGAACGCTGCCATTCTTAAACTATTTGAGATTCGACCTTAAAATTTTAATATAATATTCTAGAGTACAGACTTTCAAAAAATGCAAAAAAAAAAATTGATTTTTCAAAAGTGTTACACCGGTATAGCCCCTTAAACGGCGCGGCGTGCGAATACTTTTGCGTCCTACTGTAAGTTACATTCGACAAACGTTCCTGTCGAATAAATTGGCAGCTGCCATGCCGGTGTGAAACTGGCGTCAAACAAACTCCTCGTATCCGTGAATCTTCGTCGATCGAAAAATCTTGATCGCGTCTTCGTTTCATCCTCGGATAGATACATCAATTCTCGCAAACAAGATAAACTTTCTCGGAACGATTTTCTAGCTAGTACAGCGATTAAATTAAGACAGGTGTTTCTTGGAATGGATATAGCCATTTAGCAGAAAGATATCCTGCGAGAAAT